TAACAAAGTCTGCAACAGAATAAACTATAGAAAATTATGTAGATGTTTGTAAATTTGTGACATTTCACAACTCAGTGACTATCCCTGAATATGTCCCATCTCTGTATAATGGAAATATTCCATGTCAGAATATTTTTGCTGATTACAGTTGCCAAATATTGTAACTGTCTAAGAAGCACAGCGCAGTATCTTGACACCAGTATTTCTTCCCGTAGTGGACGTTTCCACGTTAGTCATCCGGAGGATTTTTCTAACTAAAGTTGAATTTATGATAAAACATCAACTTGTTTTTCTCCACAGGCTGATACAATAAAATTATTGTTCGCCAGAAAAATTCCTTTTAATATATAACTTTGCTCAGTTTTATGTAGAGAATATATTTAAAATGTAATTTTAAAAAGAAGAGCTTTTTGTAGCTGTTTCTTTACTCAAATTAAATGTGTTGGAAGATCTGAAGGTGACAATACCCATGAGCATATCTCAACAGGAAACTCTTCCAAATTCATCTGTTGGTTTTCAAATTATGTCATATTTCTCCGATGAATAATTATTTTGTTATATTCTTGGTAAGCGATGAGTTTCTTCTTTCTTTTGATACTCAGCCAGTCAAGAAAATAAGAGATAATCTTTGATTCCGGTGTTAGAATCTAAGAACGCCTTTTACTGGTTTGATTGAAAACCAGAGAATTTGGAGCATTACAACATCACGGAGAAATGCTGAAAACTGCCCGGCTCTCATCGTGAAAGCTTTGTCGCCTGACCCTTGGGATGATTTAATTCTGTTCTCTCTGAGCTAAACTCCATTTCTAATCCTATTTTCACCAATGTCAATCCAATTTAATACAGCTCCTGTAAGTCAAAATTAATTACCCCTTTTAGGTCTCCTGGGTCAGAGTGAAAGATGAGAGGTCCAGATTTTGACTTCTATGTGCAGTCTGCATGAAATTCAGGTCTTCCATACTAATTGGGTAACCCCGCCATACCAAGATGGACTGCCATCTGAGATTTGGTTCTTCGGAACAGAATGGGCATGTGTTCTAGGAGTATGTAACCTGCCTGTTTAATTTAGAGCAATAATAAATCTAGTACATTTCTTTGTCTGAACAGATAAGTATAGGAACATAAAAAACATCAGAAAAAACTAAGCATTTGACCAAATTATGAAGTCTTTTTTGATAAAACTATGGTTAGGTAGGTCACATATAGGGACATATTTTAGAAAACAGTGAATTATGAATTGATAACTGAGTTAAGAAATATAATCTACATTTTTTACTTGTCTAATTTCATCGAATTAGAATTAGACTGCTTTAATGGCAAAAATGTTGCTTTAAACAGTATAGAACGTACTACAGAAGATTCAAAGAAAATTATCCATGCTTTTCCTACAGAGCAGTTACTTTTCATTCACTGCTCACTTTCTTTAATCCTTTTTTTTTTTTTAAAGCTTAATTTTGGATAAGTCGTTTGACTGCAAGTTCTTAGGGCCAGTATAGAAAATGCTTTCGGTTATAGAAATACTTTAATATACCACTCTGTGCAGGTACAAAATACAGACACTATGCAAGTCGCAAAATATTCTGGCCATAATAGCGTACTTAAGCAGTAACCCAATCCGTGCTGCCTCCTTGGGGGACCCAAAAACACTCCTTTATTTCGCTTTCAAAGAAGAAAACAGACATGATGGTTTAAAAAGGACTGTGAACGGGCAGCCCACAGAGTCTAGAATTCCTTTATGGACCTCAGCAGACATCTCTCTGAAACACTGTAATTGCTATTACAATAGGAGTGAGCCCACATCTGAAACCCCCATACAGGGAGTATGTCAGAACACAAGAGGCACTGGAAATAGATATAAAGTATTTGAGTAACTCTTATAATTCCCAGTTCTTTATAGTCCGCAGTAAGACAGAGATGGGCTCAGTCCAAAGCTCGCAGATGCAATATCACTCAGCAGGTTCACTGGGTGACCTGGTTCTCTGTAGAAGAAGTATGGAGATATAAAGTGTCACACCTGTTGCTGTACCACTTGGGACCTTTACAAAATCAGCAGTATATCATACGATTATTGAATAGGGCAGGCTCGTAATTGGAGGCCATTTAGGATATTAACCCCCACTTTGATTCTAGAGAACAGGCTTTTGGAGAAAACTATTAGGAAGGAATTCTTCGGGAAAGTTTATGTCTTTCTTTCCTAAACAGGAGCAAAATTACATTGACCAGATGTCCTTTTTCTAACTAGCAATTTTTTAGGGGAATATGCAATCCGGAGTTGCATGGTTTGGAATAAAATCGTAGCTGTATCATAGCATTTGTTCAACGCTACAGATTGTGTTAGTGCTTCTAACTAATAAATTTCACTGATCATACTGAAATTAGTTATCTCTGGGAAGTATTGTTCTTTTTTTTTTTCAGCTAAAGCACCATAATCACTGCTGTTTATTACTGAAACCATCCCTAAAAATTTTCATTTAAAATTTTCTGTCATTTTTGTTATCTTCTGTTTTCTCTCTGTGATCAGTCTCCACTCCCTTTTTATTGATGTCATATGTGGAAATCTATCTTCCGCATGCCATTAAAGTAAGCCTCGTTCACAAGCAGGAGATGTACCCTGATAGACAGACAGACCAATCAACAGACATACAGACAGATCAATTGACAGACAGATCAATCAACAGACAGACCCATCGACAGACCTGTCGACAGACAGTCATATCCCATTGACAGACCCATCAACAAACAGACAGATCACTCGACAGACAGTCATATCCCATTGACAGACCCATCAACAAACAGACAGATCAATCAAAAGACAGAACCATCAACAGACCCATCAACAAACAGATTAATTGACAGACAGACAGATCCATTGACAGACAGACCCATCGGCACAGACCCATCGGCAGACAGATCCATTGACAGACAGATCGACCCATTGGCAGACAGTTCCATCGGCAGACAGATCCATGGGCAGAGAGACCCAACGGCAGACAGACCCATCGGCGGACAGATCCATCGACAGACAGGTCCATTGACAGACAGGTCCATTGACAGACAGGTCCATTGACAGACAGGTCCATTGACAGACAGACAGATTAATCGACAAACAGACCCATCGGCAGACAGATCCATGAGCAGAGAGACCCAACGGCAGACAGATCCATCGGCAGACAGACCTATCGGCGGACAGATCCATCGGCAGACAGATCCATTGACAGACCGGCCCATCGACAGATAGACAGACAGATTAATCGACAGACAGACCCATCGGCAGACAGTTCCATCGGCAGACAGATCCATCGGCAGACAGATCCATCGGCAGACAGATCCATCAACAGACAGATCCATTGACAGACAGACAGATAGCTTTAAGGCCAAAGTAGTCAAACTGTAAGGACTGATGACCTGGATTTTCTAGTTGAGCTATTTTGACCTTAAATTTTGAAATTCACTTTGAATTCCTAAGAAATTCTAACTTTAGTAAAAAATCGTGTTAAGCAACAGAAGCACTTAGCACTATTGTAGAGGCCCTCAAAGTGCACGTTCACCTGTCAGTTACACAGCAAACCTCCAAGCTGTTCAACTTGTGCTAAAAAAACAAATCTAATGAAACAGGATTCTTGTAAATATCTGCAATTAATGGACCCTAAATTAGCCCTAAATAGTTCACACATGGGGTGAGCATCAGCACTGTAACATGGCTGATAAAAATAGAAATAATTAAGACAAAGAAAGTTTGGGGAAATAGGAACAAAAAAAAAAGGAATAGTCTTACCGTCAAAATAAAAATCCAGGGACAATGACATGATTTTGTTATGACTGTAGGATCTGAATGCATCCTTTGATTAAATAATCTGTACAGTCTATACATAGCTTTGTGGATAAATTACATTAATGAGTAATTGTTAAGTGTGTCTTAGTGTGTGTTTAGATATTTTATGTGAGAATAAATAACATTGTTTCTGTGTTAACCTGTTAAGTGCCTGGTGGGGAGGAGTGAATTGCATTCAGTACACCTCTGATATTAGTAACATAATCCCTATATAACCAGGTGATATGTTTGTTTGGCGAGTCACTGTGTGTAAGGCAGTCGCAGTGATGAAACTTAACATGAGTGTGACTAAGTTATGGAAGGGAGACCTGAAGTTTCTAAGTATCTTAAAAAAATAAATAAAAAAAAAACGCCAGTATATTTCAAAGCACTTTATAAGTGGCAGCTGGAGGAAGCATGGATTTTAGACCCAGAGAAAAAACAGAGATGATTCATATTCTCAGGAGCTTGTCATCTAGAGGATGGACTCACATCATCTGGAAGCCCAGCGGGTACGGACAGCATCTGGGATCCTAGCAGATATAAACTGCAATGCACATCTTTCTCAGCCAACCTTCAGCTGATTGGAAGAATGCCTGTTTGGAAATTGGATATTGAAACACACACCATGTGTAGAGAGAGGACGGGTTATTCATTAATTCTTATCTTAGTTTGTAACAAATTAAAATCAGGCAAAATCGAGGCAAGGTTCTCCAAACTCCAATTTTCAATGTATTCACATGATAATATTATAATCAGCCGGTGAAATCCGCATACAAACCAAAAAAAAAAAATTGATAAAATACATCAAAAAGCCATGCGCGTTTCGCCAATGAACAATGTTTGGACATCCTCAGGGGCATTCAGCATCAATAGCTTCAAATCGCCGGTATAATGATTTATGTGTCACTGCCGTCTTTTAAATCCCATAGGCGCCTCTCTCGGATACTCATCAGCCAATCCTCTAATTAGGGTCTGAATGTAATGTAAGTCAGCAACATTTGTGATAATAACCAGTTTTGCAATTCTCATATTTACTACATGTCAATCTAGTTGAAATTCTGTTATTTCAACCAAAGCGCACATCTTCATTTGTTACCATCTGGTGTCTGCTTTGAAGACACATGATTTTGCTATTTGGATGGAAAGCCATGATTTTATGAAAGACATGGAGGCGAGTATTGTGCTTAACTGTTTCTTTACTTCAAAACAGCAGCAAAGAAAAAAGACAATTGGAAAAAAAGGATTCCTACGGATAACCTCCCAAACTCTGCCCTTTATTAATAGCCATCCCTAAACTAGACCGCCCCCCCACAAACAAACTGGAGCCAGGGCAAACTTGTATTTCCAAACTGAGAGACAGACAGCAGCTGGGGCTGGAACCAACCAGATCGGAAGAGCAGGATCCACCAAATAGTTCAGTCCTGAGGAACATCACCCTGAAAGACACAAAGGGCAGGGTGGGACCACAGTTAGACATCGGGCAGTAACCAGCAGTTCCAAAGCAGGTCATTCAGTGAATGCAAACCACAAGTCCATATAAATGAAGCGTGCTAATGCAAGAATATCAGTCATCATAATTAGAGCACATCATGGAAATGTAAGAATATCAATTATTATGATTAAGGCATGTAACACGTAGCAATGGAAAAATAACCTGAAAAAAACTAAAAGAAATATAACACAATCTCATAAACAAACCAAAAAAAGTGTGTATTGAGGAAACAAGGGAGGGAAAAGCAAAGCAAAAAGATCTCAAAGGGTAACACAATACTCGCCTCCATGTCGTTCATAAAATCATGGTCTAACTACTCTACATTACCAAACCTTTTCTGTAGACGTGGCACCTCACATAAGCACTTTGTTTAACAGGAGTTTCTCTTTGCTCCAGAAGATGCTTAGAGCCCATATTAAAATACTGCCTAAACTGGAAAGACACCCACCCAATATTCCAATCTCAGACCTATCTCTATCTCTGTATGCTAAGTTGATTGCCAACAACTATCCCTAATATTGCCCTCTATAATAAACAACGATCAATCAGGAGTCATTCGTCATTCACGCCAAGGCTCGTAGAACTCTTGGAAGCTGCTCAACATTCAGTCCCACCTCAAAAGAACCAATAAGGAGGGCCTTATCTTGGTATTAGATAATGAAAAGGCCTTAGACAGGCTCAATTGGACATACGTGACCCAGATCTCGGCAACATTTTAGGCCTTATATAGATCTCCATCTGCCAATGTCCTCAATACTGGTTTCTTATCACTGCCATTTCACATATCGAAGGGTACCCATCAGGGCTACCCTTTAGCCCCCCTCCTGTTCATACTCTCACTTGAACCCCTAGTGCAGACACTCAGGCATCAGGTAGACATTTTGGGCATTGATATAGATAGCATAGACTACAGAATATCATTGTTAGCCAACAACACGATACTCACGCTGCGTGACCCATTCAAATCTCTTCCGACAATCTTATTAACTCTGTTTCATTATAGACAGTTGTCATACTTTTGGCATACTATAAACTAAACAAAGACCCAAGCTGTGACGATAAATCTCTGTCAATCTTGACAGACCTTGAAAATAGATATAATTTCGAATGGAGAACCTCACATATCACATACCTAGGAATTAAAGGAAATATACAGTGTTAGTAATACATAATTATATTCCTAACACCATAGGGCCCTCTGGTCTCACTCTCCTTACAGCCTCCACCCCCACCCTTTTTCAGTACATTCAAATCTCTTCCGACAATCTTATTAACCCTGTTTCATTATAGACAGTTGTCATACTATAAACTAAACAAAGACCCAAGCTGTGACGATAAATCTCTGTCAATCTTGACAGACCTTGAAAATAGATATAATTTCGAATGGAGAACCTCACATACCTAGGAATTAAAGGAAATATACAGTGTTAGTAATACATAATTATATTCCTAACACTATAGGGCCCTCTGGTCTCACTCTCCTTACAGCCTGCACATATAGGGTTACTCGATTCTAGCACCGATTCTTTCAGCACTGGGTTGTGCTCCTTCTTCTCTGACTTCATCCGAGGGGTAGACCTAATGCGCATGCATGGCGAGCGCCGCATGTGCGTTAGGCCTTCACCATAGGAAAGCATTGGATCAATACTTTTCTATGGGGGTTTCTCTGACACTGGACGTCCTCATGCACAGCGTGCAAACTCAGTGAAACTCCAGGAAGCGCCTCAAGTGGCTATCTGGAAGACAGCCACTAAATGCAGTCTTAGTGCTTAAAAATTGCAATTTTTTACATTGTAGGACTAAGGGAGACAGGGACTCCCTTAGACTTCTTCAATGAGATGAAGTGGTCTGGTTACCTATAGCCTAGCAAAGTAAGTACCTACTTTATTCAAACATAACCACTTACCACTCCTACAGCAGTGTAAGAGGGAGCTGTCTCAATGGAGCCGCATTCCCAAATCTGGGTTGGCAAAATAAACACTGTTAAAATGATGCTATTGCCATGTGTTTTATATATTTTCTGTCTTTTACCCGTTTCACTGCCTCTGTCATGCTGCAAAAATGTACAACACATACAAACTTTATTTGGGAACACCGAAAGGCCAAGCTTCATTAATGCAAAAACCCTTCTTAAGAGGTTGGATGGGAGTACATAATAGCCTTTTGTACTACAAAGCTACAGAGTTATCTTTACACGCCCCTGAGGAAGTCCTTCAATGGGTGGATATAATAAATACTGTGTGGACTCCAAAGTTGTCTCCACTTAGACAACTCCAATGACCATTATTTCCCATCATGGAACTTACGATTAAAATCTGAGATTGAATTATCTGATCAAAAGGGGAAAAAAAAAACATTTTCATTGCCTTCGAATGATGTCCCTAGCAACAGTTTTACCATGGATATCTCAATGGAGGTCGATGGATTTAGGGGTTACTGATGTGGCCAAATTGCTATTGCACGGCAAATGGCAAATATTCCCACGCCTACAGGTGGTCTTAAAGCTGTCTCGCAGCTACATCTATAGCTATTTGCAAATTAAAAGTATTCTCAATTCCCCACGTGATAAGATGCGCCAACCCATCCGTTTCTGTAGACCCTCAGTTTTAACTGTTCCATGACTGGAGGTCCCCACTGAAACTCAAGGCACTATACCAATTTGGGTATATGCTTTTCAAAATTAATAGGAGGAGTGTGGATTACAGATAGGAAGCGGGAGCAGTCACTCAATGCTCTCAAAGGGGTAAAACAATCTTACCACCATGTAAATGTTAACCGAATACATAAAAAATATCCTTCTGCTACGCCTTTTATGTTGGAGATGTGGTGAATAGGAGGGAACGATGCTGCACATCTGGTGGTCCCGCCGAAAGACACAGATGTTTTGGAATTAGGTTTTATCACATGTTAGTCCCGTACATACCCATTCAAGCCTCCAGTTTTTTGCTGTTATTGTCTACATAGGATGGTCATGATGAGAATTGAGCAGTAAGACTTCAGAGGCATGATTTATACACTAGAAATGCTTCATTAAACTGAAGTTGTTTTGGTGACTTAGTGTCCCTTTAATTATATTGACGAACATATGTGTAATAAAAAAATGTTTTCCAGGGAAAGTAAGTATATAAAAGTATATAAAATGGGCACATATATTGTACACCAATTCACTAGAAGACTGTGCGTTATCCTTAGCAGTGTCAGGTAAGTCCAAATTGTCCAGGTAAGTGTACATCAGCAAATACCCTCTCATCCACTAAACCGAACTCTGTAGTACCTGATCCACAAGTCTTTACCGTGATAGCAAAGCTGAACTTCTTAACAGATCTTCAACTAGTTCCTACTACGTTTTTTAAGAAGAACTCTGCAGGCAAGTCTATCCCAGGTTCACCAAACTAAACGTTGTGGTACCAGATCTGCAAGTCTCCACCATCACCACCAAGCTGAACTCTCTAAGAGACCATGATCTATTCCTCACCTTATTTACTAAGCAGAACTCTGCAGGTTCCCACAAGATTCTCCAAACTTAACCTTCAAAACTTGTCAAGCAGCAACCATATTCAACGGAATAGAACCCAATGAGCTCCGGTGATAACAGTTGAATAATAACCAATTATCCTCAGGAATTGAAATTCTTGCCAAGCCACTGAGAGAAACGTAGTTTATCAACCGATTCTACCTGGCCGAGCTTGATGGAAATAGCAGTCCATATTTGTCATCCTACCAGAAGTTGCCTCGTTGTTTTCATAACTAAGGCATACCACGGTGAGTTATTTCAGAAGCTGATTTATTAGGTTTAGAAAATAACATGATGGGAAACAATTTTCATGGGAGCTACAATTTCACATTACTTGAGTGCGCCCTTAGGACCGAAAGATGATCCACATGTTGTTTCTAAAATACTGCATATTCATAACAATAAATACTTAAGGGGGGCTTATTTTCTAAACTGAACTGTCGCAAATGAAAAAGTGCAAAGACTTTGAGCCAGTATAGCAGAATTGTTTGTAAGTTCATGCTCAGGATTATTCCCAAAACTGTGAATTTCAAACTCTAGGCTAAAAAAGTTGAATTGAAAAAATTATCCTAGTTATCTATGGTTTTAGTTGTGCTAATTTGGCCTTAAATTTGAAATTCACTTTGTATTCCTGACAATTGATAGGTGGTTTTGGCCAGTTGTTTATTCACACTTAGCTGACGTGCTACTTACCAGCGAGCCTTGCGCATACACAATTCAATATTTAAGTAGTCAGTACATAGCAAGTCATTACTCAATCACTCACACACACACAAAGTGATCCTTTAACAGATACAATCTGTTAACAATCAAATACAATCTAAGCCCCTAAATGCTCAGAAAACAGAACTTTGTTTTATAGAAACAAGTAAAACTTTTACAATATCTCGGAATGGTTCCCAGCATCAGATGGGGTGGTATTGCAGGTGTCAATCATGTCGAACCAAAAGGAGAAAAAGAGAGGGGGGGAAAACTAATGTTATTTATATAATAACAAAAACAGGGTTATTTACTAAAGTGAGAATTCTCGGCAAAGTTCAGATTTAAGGATATGCTGGATATGCTTCCAGTGTGGCTACTGTGGCTTTTATTATGATGATCAATTTGTGTTCACTTTGAATTTTAACGTGTATTAATATGTTGAGATAAACATATTGAAGCCAATGGAGTTGTGTTTCATTAATGGGTTAAATCCAATAAATGGAGTCACCAATAAAACTACTGTCTCTGCAAAGTTATGTAAAATTCCATTTACTAGATGCAGGTCTCCCAACTGTCACGATATTGGTGGCACAGTCCCCATTTTGTCCCTGTCTCGCTTCCGTTTCCTGGTGTCCCCAGGGAACAGATTCCGTGCAGCACCCCTGAATGGCAGAGAACTGAGCAGTTACACCACAAGGGCATGGTCTCTAAACCAAAACCACTCCATTAAAGGTACACTATAGGCACCCAGACCAGTTTAATTCATTGGAGCAGTCTGGGTGCACTGTCCCTGTCTCTTTAACCCTGCATTGTAAAACACTGCAGTTTCACGGAAACTGCAATTGTTTACATCAGTGGTGTATTTAGGATTTGTGCTGCCCTAGGCAGGGCACCCCCCCCCCAAATTAAATTCCCCCCACCCCTTCCTGTCAAGGCCGCACTTTGACTGACAGACGCACACATTTACTGATAGATGCATACAATCATTGACAGACACACACTCTCATATACACTGACAAACAATGACATACACACACTCACTGATCTGACACACTGCTAGACAGACATACACTTACTCGGACACACACTCACTAACAGACTGACAGACAGACACACACTCTCACTGACAGATGCACGCACTCAGTGACAGACGCATGCACTCACTGACCGACACATACATACTGACTGACCGACACACACACCCATTCACCGACCGACACACACACACATTCAATGACAGACACACACTCACTGACAGACACACACACTTACTCAAATTCACTGACACACATTCACATTCACATTCACTGACAGACACACTCACATTCACTGACAGACACACACACACTCACATTCACTGACACACACACTCACTCACATTCAATGACACACACATTCACTCATTTCCCCCACTCATAATTATTATTATTATTTTTTAAATTGAAATCCACCCAGTCTCCCTACTTTTGGCATAGCTGGGTGGATATTTCACCTGGGGTCTAGTGGGGCTGCTGGGCAGGGAGGCAGCCGGATGTGCGGGGAGCCCAAAGGTGGCCAGCCGGCCAGCTCTTGGGCTCCCATAAAACAACTTATTTGCCTGGGCATTTGGGGGCGGTGTTTTTTGCCGCCCCCTGGAAATTGCCGCCCAAGGCAAATGCCTTGTTTGCCTCACGGTAGACACCTCCCTGGTTTACATCGCAGGTTAAGACTGCCTGTAGTGGCATTTCACCAGACAGACACTAGAGACTCTTACAGCTTTGCATATGGCTATCTCTCTTGTAGCCCCCCGTGGGAAAGCATTGATTCAATGTTTTCCTATGGGGAAGGCCTAATGCAAGTGTGGTATGCGCCTTAGGTCCTCCCTCGTTGGGGGAGGAGGAGTCTAAGCCAGCACCAAGGGACCTCGGCGCTAAAATAAGATGAATGAATTCAAGGGTTATTTAACTCTTTGAGTAGCTTTGTTATTCTAACACTAAAATGTTCCTGTAAGCTAGAGTTATTTTGGTGCTTATAGGATCCATTTAATTAACTGACGTGTCACCAACAAAATAAATGAAAATGCCTTATATGCCTCCAAGACAGCCATATATTCACTAATAAACATTACAACAATGATTTACTACATCTGGCTCACACATGGATACAAGAACACACAATGTATGTGTAGCCTTGGCTGACACAAATTATCAGCAATCGATGGTTAAAGAGAACATTTCTGGTATCAAGGACTCAAATTTGCCACATTAGCCACAAAACACCCTTAAAACAGCTGTCTGGCATGTGTCACCGGATTTTCTTTTAAAGACGTTACCCAGAATTCAGACATTGCTACAAAGAATGTTGCACATTGTTTCTGCTGATACCATTGCTGTTCTCGACCTTGAAACAAATGAAAAGTTCTGCATCCACAGGAGAAATATGGCCACTGCTCACTCAGATAATCCACAACTTTACTTTCGTACATACTGATAAATTCAACAAACAAAATGCAGTAAAATTGGCTCATATCGTACAGTTGTCACATCGATCTGCGCGTTTCGTGCCGTTACGCACTTTTTCAAGACCACAATACCGAGTGCCGTCTCAAAATATACCTGAATATAGCCTAATTACAGCTGTAGCCTAAATCATCCAGCTTCCAGCTAAGGTAAACAATACCATAAACCTAGCTTTCTCTCCCCAGGACTAACCAGGAAAACTTGCATGTTAAAGGGCCAATACTCTTTAGATCCCTGCTAGGGGTGCGTCAGTTAAACCTTTAAAATATATATTAACATACATGCTTATAAACTTTATTAACCCAACAGCTAAAACAAACCTCCAATAACTCTCAGAAGAAACCAAATATTTACAACATTTATAAATGAATAAATATAAAATCCCCAATTATAACATCCAATTACATGCTATCTCTGCACAGGTCTTACCCTACACACCTCGATTACGCAGGAGGGACATCCTACCATTATGAAAATGAAAATGAGAAAAATAATGAATAAAATGTGAGGTTAATGAAAAATAATAACCAAAAACTCACAATAATCAAAAAGTTGTTCTCGACCTTATGCTGCTTGTACTACTAGTGAATGCTTAAATGCCACAACTAACTCTTAAAGAGACACTATAGGCCCCCAGAACACTTCATCTCACTGTGCATGTGCACTATCTTCCAAAGCTTCCCTATGGGAAAGCATTGGATTGGCTGAGATTTTTGGTCATTGTCAAGCCTAAGTCAAATACCACAAACTAATTTACTAAAGTAAGAATTGCCTAAAATTCAAAGTGTATTTCAAATGTAAGACCAAACTAGCCGAACTGGGAAAAGCCAGTCATGCTTCCAGTTTGATTACTTTGGTCTCAAAACCAGAACTTCACTTTGCATTCCTAACAATACTCACTTTAGTAAATATCCCTGTATAACAGCACAGGTTGCACATTCATTGATTAATAATCTGACACAAAAAAGGTCTAGTGGGTTCCTACACATTCCATATAGTGTTATTACACAATGGTGACATGAATCGTGTTTAGAATGGCTTCATACAATTAGTCTAATATCAATATGTTTTACAATATGTCTAGGTCACATTATAGCTTCATAAGGCATTTTGATCCTGCCCACCACAGTTGAACTTTTTCATACTGTGGTGTTGTGCTGTTTTGTTTATTTAAAGGAACAGTTTAGGCATCATAACTACTTAGTTGAAATGAAGTTGTTGTGGTGCTAGGAGGTCCCTGGCGCTGGCTTACCTTAAGGGGTTAAATGACTCATGAATGATTTAACCACAAAGTCTCCTCTCCAGCGGCTTTTTTCTCTGCCCCCACCACATCTTTACGTACCTGTTTTAATACCTTTTTTATGCATGGGGAGTCACTGACTGGCTTAGAGCGTCAGCTGACCTCTCTAAGTCAATCAGTAGCTCTCCCAGGCTTCCGTTCTGAAGAATTTGAGAAAATGGATGTGGAGGGGGCAGAGAGCAATGGCACTGGAGGGGAGACTTTGGAGTTAAACTGTTCTTTAACGGTTTAACCACCTCTAAAGATAACAAGCGCCAGGGACCACCTGGCACTATAACAACTTCATTTGGATATTAGGGTGCCAGTAGTGTTCCTTTAAGCCAAATAAAGTTTTCTCATTTGAACTCTACTTCTAAGCTTCCAATGAATGTCGATTAAATATAAAAGTCTTTTTATTTTGTATAAGTTATTCATTTCAAATAATGAAATATCAAAGAAAGTCCTAACAGTTAAAAATACTGAATGAAAAATGCATATTATGGATGCACAATTAAATTTCAATTTTTTGTAGTCTTAAATCTCCTTAAGGGGTTAAAACATATAAGAAAGTCTTCATTTTATATATGTTTTTTTTTTTTTTAATATAGGCAACCATAACTACAGCAAAACCCCAGAAGCCACAGATACCTCCTTAGTCAGAACACTACAAAATATCCGCTTAGATTAGGACAACCGATCTCTGTTCCTAATTACCGAGCCTTGAGATTTCAGATGAAGTTATGGGAAAAATGCTTTGGAAAAGATATGGTGGTTTCTTTGACTTTAGTTTGCCCTGAAGTTTTTGTAATAGAGACCACCAACTTATTTTTGTAAAGAGGAAAAAATTACTCCCACCCCACCCCCTTTCTTTGTGATGCCTAAGTTCAAACTTCCGTTAGAATAATATCAATTAGGGATATTTGAAACAGATCTCTTCCATATTTGGGTTTACCATATATTTTTTAATGTATTTGTTTTGGGTGGGGGGAGATTATGATAGTTACAAAACAGCGACTTTAGTTGCAATCTGGCTTGCCGAATTTTGGCTGCAATAATTAAATGTTTTTAAAAATCTCCAATGTGGTTATTTACTAAAAGGAGAATAGTTCAGAATTCAAATTTAATTTCAAAATAACTGAACAAGAAATGTTCTTTAAAGGGATACTATAGGCACCAAAACAACTTTAGCTTAATGAAACAGTTTTGATGTATAGATCATGACCCTGCAGTCTCACTGCTCAATTTACTGTAATTTAGGAGTTAAAGGAACACTGTAGGTATGTTAACCACTTCAATCTATTGCAGCAGTTATAGTGCCTGCAACCCTGCCACCCTCTCCTGCCCCAAAACCCTTATTTCACTAATTAGAAGGCTTCAAGCTGCACCCCCAACCTCTCTGGGTATGAGAGAGAATCTCCCTTTCTGGCTTTCATATCATACCAGTGCCGTCACCGTCTGCCATCGAGAATCATTGTATTCATTGATTCTCTGTGTCAGAATCTTAAGAAAATTGCAGCTGGACATCCCACGAGGAAGATGCTGCAGCATAGAGAGACTCGATAAAAAGTAAGTCATTTGTTTTATTTCAATTTATTTCATTATTTTTTAATACCCGGGGGAGTCCTAAACTAAAAAGCCAGTAATACAGATATGTATTCCTAATGCTATAGTGTCCCTTTAAATGCCTATGTTTAACCTCTTAAGGACCAAACTTCTGGAATAAAAGGGAATCAGGACATGTCACACATGTCATGTGTCCTTAAGGGGTTAAAGAGCCCTGGTCACACCTACCTACATGTAACTTGCACAGACTTTATAAACACTTCCTGTAGAGGGAGCTCTAATGTTTAAACTTCCTTTATAGCACATTTTCTTTAGGTTAGAATTTCTCATCTCCTGCTATGTTAATAGCCTTCTAGACTCTGCAGGAGCCTCCTGAGTGATCTATACACCAAAACTGCTTCATTAAGCTAAAGTTGTTTAGATGCTATAGTATCCCTTTAAGTCAGCTATGCTTCCAGTTTGGCTATTTTGATCTAAAATTTGAAATTCACTTTAAATTTCCTTTAAATTCTCGAATATTTTCACTTCAGTAAATAATCTTGTAAATCCCCCCACCCCCACCCCCCACACACCTCAATACACACAAACACACACACATGCAGATTATTATTATTATTATATATACTGTATATTTTACATTTTATTATATTATAAAATTATTAGGATATTATTGTGGGTTTTTTTCATAGAATGGGGTTGATCAAGCCTAGATAATATCATAACATATTGATTTATCACAAATCATGCAGTTGTTTCTCGCCAAACTATGATATAGAGTTGAAGAATAATTTAACCACTGAAATTAAGGTAGAATATTGGTTTTAAAAATGTCATATAAAGTATTATGTCCTTCGGAATGGCCTGTATTTTATCAAATGTCCTAATCTCTATTGATATGGAATTGTAACTGAATGATTCTAATATAGTTATTCTCCTGGGGTAATTATTTCCCTATAACTGTATTCTAAACACTGCAGGCAGATTAAGTCATCCTTAATGTCTTTTCAAATGCAATCGAAATAACTTTCGCTTTTGTACTTTAATGATTCTGATTTTATTGTATGTATATTTATATTAAACCGGATTAAACTTGTTACATACGTTACTGTCTGTCCACAGAACGCTCCGACTATTGGTGGATGTTTCAACGACTACAGATCTAGGTCAGGAAATTCTCCATAAATATTAAACTGTATTGGCAATTAATTTATATGCCAAGGATCTCGCTAAACAAAGTGTAACATTTGCCAAGTGCTTGTACGTTTAAACCGGAAATAGTATTTATGGTTCACTATAGACCCAGATATATAGCTACATCTGTAATTGTCAATCAAATTCGGGACCTACCAGCCAGGGAGACAATTACTGGGGTTCCAAATAAACCTGGTTGTACTTGTTATATAAAGTATGAAGTCTACTTACAGAGATCTGAACAAATAATGCCTTGAAACCCAATAGTTTTAAGACGGGTGAAATAAGTGATATTAGGAATATATGTTGACTAAAGACAAGTTGGTTGCCAAGTCACCTATTGCAACCTACTCACTGTGCAGGTCAATTTAAGTGAACAATATCTTGAAAAACAGCTGACTTGTTAGATCGATTGTTCAAGTCACTAACTCTGACACTGGGGGCTATCAAGGATGTCCGTTTATAACCCCATGTTATTGTGTCATAATACGGAGAGAGAAGTTACTGCAACTGTTCAGTGGCAATGAACATGCTCTGGCATCAAAACTGATGCTAACCTATCAGATTTTATCTGTACCTATATAAACCCCCTTCTCATACAGTCCAATGCCCTCTTGTGGTCTTCTATAACAGAGGGTTTTTTAATACTGTGTTCTGGTTATTCTGATTTTAATTTGTTTTGTTTAGGACCAGGGGCGTTGCTAGGGTCAAAAAATACCCAGGGCTTAAACCCAAAACAAACATTCCTCCTCAGGTCCCCACGCTTCGTCCTTCCCAAATTCCAGCCCTTTACTCATGCAATATATGCTTATTGACACAGTTGGATGCATATCTAAAGGCACATACTCACAGTTGGATACTTACAAACGCACACACTGGCACATACACAAACACAGACATATTCAGGCGGGTACACACAGAGAGGGACATAAAACATAGTCAAGCATGGGTGCACACACACAGACATGCACAGACACTGACATACAGAATGCAGGCACACAGGCACAAACACACAGACATACACAGACACAAACATAAAAAAAAACATAAAGACAGGCTACACAGACATAGACACACATACACAGGCAGCACATGCACAGACACAGACATACACAAACAGGCACACACAGAGAAGCAGGCATAAAGGAACAGGCACATACACAGGAATATACAAGCAGATACAGGCTACACAGACATATAAAATATATTTTTTTTCCGCCATCCCTAACCAGGCCCTGTGCACCAGGAAGGCAAGCTGTGGTCGGTAAACATTTCTAGGGCTGACTGCAACAAGCCTCTCCCTCTATAGCATTTACAGAGTGAGGGAGAGGATGCAAAAACTGCACTTATAGACCCAGAATCTCTCAGTAATTCCTGCCATGCTGCTTTAGATAGAGAGAGATAAAGATAGGGTAATATGATAACAGTGTCATTTTTCCCACATCTTTATGTAAACTGTACTGCTCCCATCCCAGCCCAGACTCTACAAAGAAACTAAGAGGGAGAGCAGCATGGTAGAAAGATCTCATGGATTTGTGGGCTCCACTTCCCCCAGCTAAAAGGTTTGGAGCTACAGGGTCCCACATTCGGGGCTGGAGCTCCCTAGCCTCCCCCTTGCAATGCCCATATTTCTAACTATTCTGCTCTCTGGAATCCATTGGCCTTGTTTTCTTATTTTGTCATCACTCTGGTATCTCTTGACCTAGGCCTTTTCTTTGCCACTCCTTTACCAGCTCGCTGGTTCCACGTTCCCTAAGGACCAGCAACACACTGTTATTCTGTTTTATCCCTTTGCTAGTAACATTTCTCTGGCTGTCTTTTCTATAGCTCTGGTTGTCTTACCTTGACACATTTCCTCCAATCCATTTTACCAGAATATTTGGCTTTTATCCAGCACCAAACTGAGAATGCAAAGTCAGCTCTTCAACCCAAATTTGCCAGGAACTCGCCTGCTGAGATTGAGCTGAATCTGCTCTCAAAACAATTTTTCTTTTCTATTTTGGTCACCAGAATGAATTCACCCAAGTATATCATGACAGAAAATTATTCCCAAACCAACATCAGGTTTTTCTCAATGTTCCGATATAAAGAAAACACCTGCATGCTTTGGAAACCTTCACAAAACATGTACATCCAACTGCTAACACGACTGTCCCACGCTCAGTTCAACTGGCTGTCTCAAGCCAAACCAATAGACCATGATTTTAATATGGATTTGCTGTCAAATGATTTTAACCCTCGCAGTTATTCTCATTGCCTTAGGACATATTTTTGGAGCAGTGCAGCCTCTGGAGGTCGATATCCCTTAATATGCATGCAAAGGTGTGTGAAAAACAGAACCGCCATGCCAAAACAAGTTAAACCCAGCCAGAAACCTGGATATACAGTTCTCTAACTAAGTAATAGTAAACAGCACTGGTATTTATTCCTAAACGATGACATTAGACCAATCTACTATATTAACAGTCCACTCATTAGATCCACACCTTTTCAAAAGTAAATCACTTGTGTCAACATTTATTTCATGAGATTATCTATTTTATTTTAATTATATAAGAAATATATGCACAAAAGATAAAGTTATAGTATCTGCTTTAAGGTCTTCTAGTACCCAGGACCACAATTGGTCTAACTGGCCAGGGTTTGTGTTGAGGCCTTCACTCCACTAACGTATCTTCTCTCTTATCCAATGCAAGACGTTGTGTGCAACTCTGGATCAAAGTTCTAGAAAGTGAGCAGTCACCATGGGAATCAATGGAATGTTCCGACTGATAGATTCACTTTTAGAACTTTGGCCAAAAATTAATCCCTATGTATAGCCCCCTATGTAACTATATAATCCCTTTTATATTACACATTCTCAGCTGGGATGTGTCTGATGCTCTTGAATACTGCTTAGCTAACTACATTTTATTTTTAAAATGGTGCATTGGCAATAGTAACGACTACTAACAGGTAGCAGTGCCATCTCCATGGGCTTTAACTTCAGTCTGTGCCAGAAACCCCTACCATTCAGTCTCAATGGATAGCATCCAAAATACACCCAAGAGCATTGTGGGAGATTATTTTGTTCTGAGGGAGCTGCTGTGTTGGTGATATTTGTGGAACATACTGCAGTGATAAAATGTGTCAGCTTTTTAGTACAGACTGGTCGGGATTGACTATAGCATCCTTGGAGCAATTAATGCATGTTAAAATCTATTATTTTTTTTAACTGCATTTTTTCTTTGACTAACTTCGTAATAATTAATAATCATATGGGCCGAATCATTTCCAAAAATTAAACAGATTACAATAAAATAAAAAATAAAAAAAAAGATGAGAACGAGATAATAAATTAATGAATAAACCTCATATATATTTTTTTCAATCATTTAGGGGAGTCTGATATTATACAGAGGTTCTGCAAGTCCTCCTGTCTCAATGGTGGATGAAGTACCTTATACTGCCCCTTCAGAATCAGCATCCTGTGTGTTTTCCAATCTATCCCAATGCTAGCACAGAGTAACAGATTACATTACAGATGTTGCAAACACTAAAATTTTATGCCTGTGCTACATAGTATCACAGCTGGTCATCCCATTAACAAGAACATGCTTGGGACGGGTCATTTTAATCGAAACCACGGCTGTTCTCATGCTTCCCTCCCCTTTGTGAAATCGCTCACCCATATTCCCTCTCCCCCCCCACCCCGAATTTATTACTACTAAGAACATCTGGTTTGGGATTTTTGCAAAATCACAGGCATATTTCAAGTGCTCTGCCCCTGTCTCGTTGACAGAGAGAATTTTTTTTTAATAAGGGTTAATATCATCCCCCTTTTCCTCTACGTCTTCATATACGGGATTAATATGAAAAGATTGCTCCCATTGCTCCTTCGCGTTTCGAATGCGCAGACCGGGTTTTATGGCCTCCTGTATAAGGCACCATAGAGTCTAACTTCCTCCCGAATCCAATGAGTATATTTTGGAAAGTCAGCTTTGGTAGATAATACGGGGTCATAAAAAGAAAGAGCAGGGCGGGCTATTCATTAAGAGTCGGAAATTACTTGTGGCGTCAACGCAGTTTTATTGAAACTTTTTTTTGGGAAGTGACATTATTAAAATATTCTTTTCTAAATATCCCACGCATGCTAAAACAGATATTCTATTTGGCGAAAGTAAAAAAAGAAAAATTATGTAAAGAGATTTCACCCCAAAAAAAATTAATCTTGGCTGATGTGATATTCAATGTAACATTTTCATCGAATTTACTTGGAATTACTGAAAATTCACACTTTAGTGAATAATTTGACTTTCATAAATATTCTCATAGTGCCTAAAAAAACAGAAGAATTTCCATAGCAGATATGTTAATTGGCTTGTTCTGGCAAAGACTTATCTGAGTTTTGCTCACATCTAGGGTGACTAATTATTCCAGCAAATTATTGATATTTATTTTGCTAACCTTTCCCATGACCATTATTTGCCACTAATAATAAAAACATCAGAAGACTTTAAGAAGAATTATTTATAACCTTTCCATATTTCAATACTTAGAGATTAGTTTAGTTACTAACTGCAATAAGTCCAAATTAGTTTTTGGGGGTTTTTTTTCGCGTCGCAAAAAAATTAAAAAGACATGATTGATGGGGAAAAAATGATGGCTGTTTATATACAATATAAATTTATTATGGCTACTTTTCATTTTCCCTTTATTGGGTAAATTTTCTCACTTTATCTATTAACCAAATGGTGGGAAAATCAGTGTATTGCAAAATACATACATAATATTTATATACACCAATTGCCCCATTTTTGCGCCCTTTTGGTTTGTCTGATTTGTTTTCACAAATCTTTTTTCTCAAATCAAATGAAACGGATGAAATTGTGTATTATAGGAAAATAATGTTATTGAGCGGATTCAGAAACATTCATACAATACAAGACTAATATAGAATCTTCAGAACCCTGATAGGGCATCATTTCCCTTAATGCACTATATAGATATCATGATAGATTTGTTTATGGTAACTGGAGGCCGGTGTCACATCTAGGGAGGGTTGGAGCAAAGGTTAGTGTTAGACCTTGGATTAGAACTAAGATTAGAGTGGTGTTAGGGATAAGGATAGTGTTTGGTTTAAGTTTCTGGCTGTCACAAACTTACCATATCATGGCACCCATGCGGCTCCCCTCGTAGTCCCCTCCTCAGGTCACATTGCCTTAACACTCCACGCGGCCATGTGGTCTGAACAGGAAATACTTACCATTCGGCCCTAATTTTCTTCTCTGCATTATATTAGATGCTGCCCGTTTGAATGGCCTGTCTTTTCTAAATTCAAATGCTGTGATGTCACACAGTGACCATGTCATCCAGGCGACCCCATTATCAACGATTTTGGAGTAGCAGAGATGACGTTGATCAATCAGAAACATTGTTAGCCTATATAATGCTAATTTGGGCCCTTATCCCTTGCCGTATCGTGGTTTCTGCCCTGATACATGTTATAACGAATAGTAAATCTCTCTTGATATGTTTTGATATTGACCTCAGCTTGTATTTGACTTTGTTTATTTCTGGTATCCTGACCGAGCTTATTTTTCCGTTTATCCATATTTCTATATTATGATCTTGGCCATTCCTGACTCTGTCTTTATTAACGTTAAGTTCGGCCCGTTAATACTTCTATCTAGAATCCCTGTTTCTGAATTTTCCATTCCTGTAAATTGGGGTATGACCCTCATGACACTGGTTAATTCTAGTGATAAGGCTAGGATTGGGATTAAAGCTAGGGCTAGTTTTAGGGTTGGGGTTAAGATTAAGACTACAGTTACGGCTAGGGTTAGTTTTAAAGTTCTGCTTATAGGTAATTATAAATTTGGTTCTAAATTGCAATGATAAAATCCTGCCATCTGTACTCTGATAGAAAATACAGATAACTGGTTATAAATACCTTTATTTGCTTGAAAGGGTGATCAAATTATAAACTATAAGTCACGGTCACGGTCACGGTCTACCTTTCCATATTTAGTTTTTAACTGCAGCAATTTGCAAACATTTCTGTAGCCACAATTCTTACATTTTACTCAACTGCATCACTGGAGGAAGTAATGTGGTCTTACAATTATTCTGTGTGTGTCCACTGGTCGGAAGTATGCTATACAAGCCCCTACATCCCTCAGCTGCTCCTTCAAAGTGTTCTGTGAAGAACCAATATGGCGTAGCGGCAGATCTCACGACCCGGAGTACTGGTCAATTCATGAAAACCTTGAAAGGAGGTATTGCAAGAAGCATGAACAGATTTTTTTTTTATTCACACTTCGACACAAATAAGATACCATCATGCGCTACACTCTGATGAACAACCATGAGAAGGTCATATTCTGGGCAGAGTCCATTCTGAAAATCTAAGGAGGGACTTCAGATATGAAGAGTGGCTATACCATAGTTCTTGACTTTGCATCCCTTGCACGTGTCTCATATTTTGCACAATGTACTTTTTTCCCCTGGGAATTATGGCCACCTGCAGGCTTTTTAATGTAAACACAGCTTTTTCAAAGAAAAGGCAGTGTTTGCTCCTCTAGTGACAGTCACTAAGATGGCCACTAGAGGCTCTTCCTGTGTCAGTGCTGCACAGCGTGGAGATGGGGATGCTGAACGTTCCCCATAGAGATGCATTCAATTCAAATGGAGATGCTGATTGGCGCATCGTGGCATTTTGCTACGCATGCACAATAGCCTTTCAATGCTTTCCTATAGGAAAAAATCGGATTGGCTAAGATTGTTAGATTTGATGATCTCAGCCACAGAGGTGGAGTGAGGTGGGGCCAGCCACAGGAAGACCAACGTGGCACTGGAAAATAGGTGAGAGGAGGCTGAAGACCTAAATAGTTATTTTATCACTATAGTGTCAGAAATACATGTTCATGTTCCTGACACAATAGTGTTCCTAAAAATAATCTGTAATATCACCATGGCCACCAGACGGGCTGTTTCTGAGTCATGGAGAAATATTGATCGGACTCTCTATGCACTTTTCATTTGTATCCTATTGGGACCATATGGTGGATGGAGGCCTGAATGTTCCTTTTTACACAGGCTTCCATAACAGCAGTTCTGTTGCACAGTAATGTGTGGGAAGTTGGGATAGATAACTACCATCTTTGTCATCCATTGAATTGCCAACATGACAATTAATGAAGGCCGTGCAGGTAGGGGCACTCAGACTTCAACTGATCCAAACAGCCACTTTACTACGAGTCACCAGCCTGCTGTTCACCTCCTACTGCATCCTTCCCAGTTATTGCTGTGGCTTGATCCGAAAGCATCCTTGAGGTCTGACTCAAACATTCTGTCCAATCTCATTACTGTAGTCCTGTCCAACAGAAGTCAGATGTCCTGTCATGATTGTTCTACAATCCTCTATTTAGTGAACAGATCCCCAAGACTGAATTAAATTATAGTAGAGTTTATAGTTATTATAGAGTGGCAACATATTTATTCAAACAAATAATTCTGTGAAATAAGTTGAGGTGAACAAGAGGTGATGAGCATCTTGCTCAAGTGAGCTGACACTCTAGAGTCGGCTTTATGACTTCAAAATAGTTCTGCGATCAGTTCATGTTCTGGTGTTTACTGGTTTGCTTTTCATGGTCTATCACCCTACCTCCTACCTGTCCACCCCTGCCCAAAACTCTTTCTTGCTTTCAAGGACATTTGCAATCCTTAGTCTCAAGTCATCTCAGGAGAATCCTATTTTTTATTCTGTTTTTTTTTGTCTGGCTACCATATGGCTCTGTCCTTGGGCCCTTATTCTTTTCATTTTACACTTCCTCTCTTGGCAAACAAGTAAGATGATTTGCCTTTCAGTAATCCTGTCTAAACTAGGAGTATATAAAATTTCAACTCTACCATCTGATCCCTCAACAACTCTTTCTCTGTAATTTCTCCAGTATCTCTTCCAACATTCCACATTTCTGACTTCCAGTGACCTTCACTACCAAAGTCACCAAAGATCCATATCTTATCTCCAGTTTTTAGACAGTGGGGTTAACTCACTAAATATTAAATTGAAGTGGATTGAAAAAGAATTGCAAAATTTAGACTAAAGTACACATGTTTTCAATATGCTGTGAGTATAGATTAATTAGATAATTTTGCCCTATCAGTATTTTTGTCAAAATTTTGCAAATTGATTTTCAATTCCCTACAATTTGCTGTTGAGTGAATAAGCCCCAATGCGTCACACAATGAGGTCATCTTCACCTTAGATCTCCATATCCCTTCTGAAGGCGCTGTACACAGCTTGTGTTATTTAACCATGTCTACCCCATAAACATTTTCTCCTTGGCTTGACTCCTCCAGCCAAGAGGTTTATTTGCTTTATTCTCCAAGAAATCACAACGAGGGAATTGTGAACTGTACACCAAAATAGTCGAGTTGCAAAATTAGATAATTTCTCGAATTCAGGTATTTATGCCTAAATTTGACAGTTTCTTTGTGAATTTTTCAAAGCGCACAGTTTAGTCAATAAACTTCAAGAGTCTTGTAGAAGACTTGTTAGCCTCTCAGAGAGAGTAATTGGACCGTTAAATTCTTACAATCCTAAATTGTGTGTATGTGTGTATCTGAGTGTGTGCCCAGCTACGTCAGTGTCTGTGTATGTGTGTGTGGAAGTGCATACATCTCCACATTCAAAGGGCAACACTGCACATAAACACCCCTGCATTCAAATGCCAACACTGCACATAAACATGCCCCTCAATACAAATACCAATACAACCCTACATTTAAACACTGCACACAATTACACCCCTGCATTGAAAAATCAACACTGACACAAACACACTCCTGCATTCAACACTAACACTGCACACAAATACAGCCTGATATTTAAAGGAACACTATAGTCACCAAAACAACTTTATCTTAATAAGTGGTTTTGGTGTATAGACCATGCCTCTGAAGTTTCACTGCTCATTTCACTGCCATTTAGGAGTTAAATCACTTTTGTTTCTGTCCATGCAGCCCTAGCTACACCTTTACTGACTGTGACTGACACAGTCTGCGTGAAAACAATCAGATGTAACTTAATTTAAAATATTTTTATCTCCTGCTCTCTAAATTGAACTTTAATCACACACAGGAGACTTCTGCAGTGTCTAGTAAGCAATTAACAGAGCAGGGGATAAGACATTTTAAATTAAAGAGAATTTGCAAAAATACATATAAACATTAGATTTTTCTTTACAGGAAGTGTTTAGGAAGGCTGTGCAAGTCACATGCAGGGAGGTGTTACTAGGGTGCATAGTGATGGAACTCCTAAATGGCAGAGATCTGAGCAGTGAGACTGCAGGGACATGATCTATACACCAAAACTGCTTCATTAAGCCAAAGTTGTTTTGGTGACTATGGTGTCCCTTTAAATACAAGCACTGCACACAAGAATGCTCCTTCACTCAAACACCAACAGTGTACACAAACACACTCTAGCATTCAAACACCAACAGTGTACACAAATACACACCTACATTCAACCACCAACACTGCGCACACACTACATACAAATACAAACACTACATGCAACACACCCTGCATTCAAACGCCATTACTACACACACATCCTTGGATTCATATGCCAACACTGCATGTAAATACACCCCTTTATTCATATCTACATACTTTATACAAAAACATGCTTACATTCAAACACAGAGGCACTGCTCACACATACAGCACGGCAAGGATGGCTAAATGGTTGATACCCAGCTGGCAAAACATTAAGTGACTTGTAGGACAGATGAGGATCTAACTTTTGGCCACGCTTGTGCAAGAGGGGGGCCCACAATAACTTCTTGCACCGTGGTCCTCTCTATAATAGTTCCACCAGAGGCTAGTTTAATATATTATAAGATAAATGATAATTTAATTGTGGTAAGGATAAAACCCCTTTAAATCACATCTTCTATAGTTGGAGTTGTCTGGGCAGTCACTGAAGTAATGTAATGTAATGTAAGTAATACATAGTCAGGCAGTCTCAGAAGTAATCCTTATGTTTTCAGTGTTAATATGTGATTAAAATTTAATTTATTATTTAATTTAGTTCTCTTTTTTTATATTTAAATGGGGGCCGACTTGATGCACCCCAGACCTCTAAAATGTGCTTGCCCCTTGGTTTGTTAATACATATTAGTGGTATTGCTTACTTTAATAACACTTAGTCTGGGTGACTGACAGCTTACTTCGGCAGCCCAGATACTTGGGACTACAATTCCCAATACTCACAGCCAGCCCTAAAGTTAACTAAGAATAATGATACAGGTAGTTCCAATGATCTGTGAAACCCAGATGAGCCAGAACCATCTAGTGAATATCTTTATTGATTCATTAATTTATTTATCATGAAAAACACTAAAATATACGATTACTCAAGTGACTTATAGTGTTCTTAAGAGCTTACAATCTACAGCACTGCTGTATCACTACATTATTATTTATTTGCTTATTTGTTTGGTAAGTAATGTCCAGGTTAGCGTCCTGTGTCAAAGGGAGTTGCTATGGTGCCAAAACTGGTCCTTTAATTTCATGGGGGTTACTGACTAAACATTGATTTCAGTTGAACTGAAAGTCTAGTTGCCAAGTTTAGGCTATAACCTCCAAACTTTGATGTTGACAAAATTGCAGATATATTTTTTTCCAAATCAGCTATTTTGGCCTTAACTTTGACTTTAGGTTAATAATTCATTGTTTAGTGAATAAATCCCAGTGGGATTGCTGCAAACTCCCAATCTAACAAAGAGGCCGAGAAAGTTACTTTTTATCCCAAAGGTGTTTATTTGCGAAAAACGGTGAATTGTATGAAATTGATAGAATAACCAAATTGCGCAGGGTAGACCAAATAACGGATTTGACATGGTGATCACAGCTTTACTATTTTAGCACACATTTTACAATGAGCTTTTCAATTTACCGTTTAGTGAATAAGCCTTAATTTATCAGGGTTCTGAATCTGGAGCCAGTTCTCAGTGATGCAGTGAGAAGGGCTGTAACTGTGTAACTGAAGATAAGAATGTTCTAAAGTGCCTTATTGTATTTACTGTTAAGAGACGCATGCGCTTATAAGCAGAACTTTATCTGTTTTCTATCATGCCAACGCTCTGTTTTCTTGCAGATCCTGTCTAGAAATCGCTCCGGCTAGGAGAGATTTAGCAGAGCCGACTCTGTGCCTTATAATCAAGTTTGACACCTAAGGCTATAATGAAAAGAGATATTATGTGTTGAAGTATCAGGGGAGCCTGTCTCGCCCTTGTAAAGTATACAGGTAACACGGAACGTGTGAATTACGAGGTAATTACGCCCAATGAGTTTTTTCCTGTTAAACAGGAGAAATAAGGGATTCTTGTAATTCTGCAGATGTAACCTTTGTGTTGGCGGATGGGGTAGTGTGGCAGCTCAGTAATAGTCTTATAAGTCCTGGCACGGACGACAAAACTAACCCTTCTCTTACCAGTGGATATTGAAACATGGTGGCAATTTTAATGTAACCACAACTCCTGGAGTCTGTCTGTAAACAATGGCTCCATTAACACACTGTATTAAACCATATAAGGGGGATTGGCCACAGGGGAATATTGTGGTATGGTGGGGGGTAAAAAATTTAAAATGTATTCTTGGCCCTAACCAAGGGGTGGTTAAGAAAAGTAGATTACATTGTTTTTGATTTATGTGTCTAGTTCAAGGATAGGCAACCTTCAGCACTACAGATGTTGTGGACTACATCCCCCATAATGCTCTTACGCTCATAATGCTGGCAAAGCATCATGGGAGGTGTAGTCCAAAACATCTGGAGTGCCAAAGGTTGCCTATGTCTGGTAGTTTATCTTGTTATATATGTTCTAATTCCATGAAAACGTCTTTGTCGCTCCCCCAATAAAAATACCTGGCATGTATTCACACTCGGCTGACCTGCCAGTAATGTGGGCAGACCTGCCACCTTTCAGGGTAAATCAGTCCCCTTTTGGACCGAGTAAGAGATGCATCCCAATTCTGCCAAAGCTGGGAAGTACGCAGTGTTGGAAGTTATGATAAACCCCAACATTTCATACCTTTCAAAAATATTTTAATAATAATCTACTTTCTGATATTTTGTCATGATTAGGGACCTGTATCACAACTTCCCCTTTCCTATGTAAATGTCCCTCTTTCAGGGACAGAAAGGAAAAAAATTTAATTGGTACTAATTCCCCCCAAAAATTCTCCTGATAGCACTATACTCCTCTTTTCTTATTCAATATATTTTTTTTATAGAGTGGTTTTTTTTTTTTTTTGTATAACTGCAACAGTCCCAAAAATGAACAGTTCTGCAGATGTTGTTTAATGAGCAATAATGATTTTGATAAGTTTCTGTTAGATACATTTAGTGGCTATAATATAATGTATCTGAAGGGCTGTCAATCATCACGTTACACATCATACCATCACTCTGTCCAGCTCTGCTAATTGAGGACTTCTTAAAAGGCGCTGACAACCTTGGCCAATTTCCTATGATGTCATATCCTGCAAGAATGCATTTAACTGAAGTATTAAAATTCTGCGCCTCTTTCACGCCACTATTATAGCTTCATTTATATCATGAAATAAAAAAATAACGGTTTACTTATTCTGACTATTTTCTGTATGTTGACATAAATGAGAAAACGTTAAATTAAAGGAAAATCGTAACGCAAAAAATGAGAAATTGAATTTTATTTTTGCTACAAAAACAAAAGGTGAGGTGTATCCACTACATCATTGGGGTTTGGACTGAAAACCAATATTTTTTATTTTTTTTTAATGTGGGCCTGTATAGCTGATCTGAAAAAAATATTTGATAGAAATAATGTATTCCTCTATTTTGACTTACAATTTACAATCCCCTTTTCTATAAGCCAGAATTTCCAGTTTAATGACTAAATCCTATTACTGATACTACAATACACAGTATTTGCAAATTTCAAAATTGAGGATAAAATCAAAACTGAACAGGAGAAATTTCAGAGATGAACAGGATCATTTTCCAATTGAGCTATTTTAGCATCAATTTTACAAGAGTTACTCCGCTGTAGTGGTTTTGGTGATGGGAGTACCCATACGACACACCCTGGTAATGGGGCTCCTCTTCTTTGAAGGCAGATTTACGACAACTGCCTTCTGCAGAGTGGAAGAAGCCCGATGTCGATCCAGCTGCTCATTGATAGGTTGAGAACATCAGCTGACCGCTGTCAGAGAAAAGGCAGTGTTTACATTACTGCCTTGGAACACCTCTAGTGGCAGTCACTCAGATGGCCACCAGAGGTGCTTCCTGGGTAGGTGCTGCAAAAATGTGCCGTTCAGCGTCACCACTTTCTGCATGGAGGCGTTAACATTCCCCACAGAGATGCATTGATTTAATACATCTCTGTATGAGGAGATGCTGATGCAGCACCGCATTTTGACGCGCATGCACAATAGCCTCCCATTGCTTCCCTTAGGGAAAGAATTGTATTGGCTGAGATCATCAAATTTGATGATTTCAGCCCAAGAGAACGAGTGGGAGTGGGGGCAGCCGCATGGAGATGCACGTGGTGCTAGAAAATGAGAGTAAGGGGGCCCGAGGAAAACACATTTATATTCCTGACACTATAGTGTTCCTCCAAATATATTTCAAAGCAGTTAAGGAAAATAGGAAAAAGTTATGAGATTTTGCTGCCAAGACCTGAATTTTACTACATTACTTTCTACTTCGGATCAAAAATTGACAGAGACTACTTTATCCGGTGCAATCATACTTTATATGGAAAAGTTTCTATTTCCAGATCATTTCCTATGCAAATAATCTTAATACCAGACAGTGCTTAGCAGGAGCCACCGATAATCATATGTACATACATTTATCAGCTGCCATAATGTAAACAGCAATGTTACTGGTAGGTTAGCTATCCATTCTTATCATAGGTTACTCCGCAGAAGTCATCTCATCTACTAAAGTGGGAATTGTTAGGAATTCCAAGAAAATTCAGAATGAATTTCAAATTTTAGTCAAAGCAGCCGAATCAAAAATATAGCGGTCTTTCTTTTTTGTTCTAAAATTTGCGTTGTTGAGTATTCTCACATTAATGAAAAACTCTGATTCTGTGCATTAATTAAAAGTTTTGTCCAAAAAAAAAAAAAAAATATATATATATATAAGTGAGGTCTGCAAGTCATTTTAGGATTTATTTGCTAAACATTAAAGGAACACTATAGGATCAGGAACACAAACATGTATTCCTGACCCTATAGTGTCAAGCATTGGATTGGCTAAAATCGTCAAGGGGCAGGGCCAAATGTTGTTTTGGCCAATCAGCACCTTCTCATAGAGATGCATTGAATCAATGCATCTCTATGAGGAAAATTCAGCATCCCCATGCAGCGCATGGAGACGCTGAACGGCACTGCTGCCTACTGTGCAGCACTGCCCCAGGAAGCACCTCCACTGGCCATCTAAGGAGTGGCCACTTGGAGGTGACCCTAGGGGCAATGTAAACACTGCCTTTTCTCTGAAAAGGCAGTGTTTGCATGAAAATGCCTGCATATAATGATTATACTTACCAGAGCAACTACATTAGGCTGTAGTTGTTCTGGTGACTATAGTGTCCCTTTAACTATAAGGGAAAAAAACGTGAACTGCAAAATTTAGGCTTAAATTTACAATTTCTGAATCTATTGCCTCCAAATTTTCCAAACCTGCAATTTTTTCTTAAATGTTGTCATTATTTTTTTTTTATTCACTGAAAGTGGTGTTTAGTGAATAAACCCCTGTACCTCCTATATTCAGATCTAGCCAGTTTGCAGTTCTTTTAAGCACACAAGTGCACACAAAACCTTATTGCCAACAAACATCAAGGGGCATTATATGGAATTTTTCCAAGTCAGATAATGTTGCAAATATTGCAATTTTGGGTTTTGCAAATTGGACATTTTTTTTGGTCACCGAAAAGTTTAACTCTCTTTGTTTCCCAGAAAGCTATGCAATGTGGTGGTGATCAAGGGGTTAATGTATTGTCCACAAAACTTTAATAGGTAAAACAGTGGACTTTTTTTTTTTCCGAGCTTCATGCAAATAACTCTCGCTGACAAAAGAAAAGCAGCTGACATGGAAATGAGGTAACAGAAAGTTAGTCAAATATTTCTGCAGTAACAGACCTTACACCAGCCCATATTCTCACTAGTCTCCTTCTTTGGAACTCGGCGGGGCAGAGAACCAAGAATGTTACAGGCAAAGTAGGGCTAAGCTGACATTAGTGTCTCTAATTCTATCCAGGGACAGCGAAGTAAAACCAAAGGGTTTACTCTCTAAACAGCAAATTGAATCACAATAAAAATGGAATTTTTAAAATTAGCCAAGTTAGGACTAAACTGATCAGACACAACATTAGAACCACTGACAGATGAAGTAAATCACATTTATTATATCGTTACAGCGGCACCTGTCAAGGGGTGGGAGCAAGCGAACAGTCAGTTTTTGAATATCATGTGTTGGAAGCAGGAACAATGGGCAAGCGAAAAGATCTTTAACAATGGCCGAATAGTGATGGGTAGACACAGTGGCGTACATACCAGGGTCGCCCCTGCGACCCAGTATGTACCCACAGGGCCAGCCTCTTCTCCTGGGGGGCCCAGGAGGTGGCCACCCCAGGGCCCCCCGAGGCTGGCCCTGCTGACCCCAGCGGGCAGGTGGCCGGTCGGGCAGGCGGACGCGCGAGGGAGCACTCAGTGCTTCCTCTTCAGCTCCCTCGCGCGCCGCACTGATGCTGGAGCCGGAAGATGACGTCATCTTCCGGCGCCGGCATCCCTACGCGGCGTGCGAGGGAGCTGAAGAGGAAGCACTGAGTGCTCCCTCGCGCGCCCGCCTGCCCGACCGGCCACCCAGTGACCAGGAGCCCAGCAGCACCACTGGACCCCAGGGAATCCCCCCAGCACTCCAAAAGGTAAGGAGGCTGGGGGGATTAAATTTAAAAAAAAAAAAATGTGTGTGTGTGTTAGTGTATGTGTGTGTTAGTGTGTGTGTGTTAGTGTGTGTGTGTTAGTGTGTGTTAGTGTGTGTTAGTGTATGTGTGTGATAGTGTGTGTTAGTGTATGTGTGTGTTAGAGTGTGTGTGTGTGTTAGAGTGTGTGTTAGAGTGTGTGTGTGTGTTAGTGTATGTGTGTGCTAGAGTGTGTGTGTTAGTGTGTGTGTGTCAGTATTTGTTTGTGTTAGTGCGTGTGTTAGTGTGTGTGTCAGTGAATGTGTCTGTTATTGGGTGTGTGTCTGCTAGTGAGTGTGTTACTGTGTGTGTCTGTTACTGAGTGTGTTTGATGTCTGTTAGTGAGTGTGTGTTTGTCAGTGAAAGTGTATGTTTTGTAAGTGAGTGTGTATGTATGTCTGTCGCTGAGTGTGTCTCTGTCAGTAAATGTGTGTGTCTGTTAGCTAGTGTGTATGCGTCTGTTCGTGAGAGTGTGCGTGTGTGTCTTCAGCATTTACCTTTCTCCAGCGTTGGACTCCCCAGTGTCTGCCACTCAGCTCTGAAATGCACATGCGCGGCAAGAGGCGCGCGCGCATTTAAACCGCCCATAGGAAAGCATTACTCAATGCTTTCCTATGGACGTTCAGTGTCTTCTCACTGTGATTTTCACAGTGAGAATCGCGGAAGCTCCTCTAGCAGCTGTCAATGAGACAGCCACCAGAGGCTGGATTAACCCTCAGTGAAACATAGCCGTTTCTCTGAAACTGCTATGTTTTCAGCTGCAGGGTTAAAACTAGAGGGACCTGGCACCCAGACCACTTCATTGAGCTGATATGATCTGGGTGTCTGTAGTGGTCCTTTAAGTGTGTGTGCATACCGCAGTCGCGGGGTCGCAGCCCTGCAACCCCTGCGACCAGGTGCCCGCCACCATGTGTTGCGACCACGACCCGTGTCGAGTAAGCGCGCGCGCGGGGTGGGGGGGGGCCATGGATCAATTTTTGCACCGGGGCCCCGTGGGTCATGTGTACGCCACTGGGTAGACAACTGGGTCAGAGCATCTCCAAAATGGTACGTCTTGTGTGGTGATCTCAGTATGCAGCGATTAGAACCTACCAAGAGGGGTGCATAGGAAAAAGCGAAGGCTAGCCTGCCTTATCCAATCACACAGAAGACCTACTGTAGCTCAAATTGCTGAAAAACGTAATGCTGGCCATGATAGAAAGGTGTTTGGACATACGGTGCTTTGCAATTGGCCGCAGAGCGGTCAGAGTGCTCGTGATGACCCCGTGCACTACCGAAAGCACCTTGAATGCAGACGTGAGCAGCAGAACTGGACCACAGAGCAATGGAAGTAGATTGTCTGATCTGATGAATCCTGTTTTCATTTATATCAGATGAATGGTGTGGGTCCTTTACATAGGGAAGAGAAGGCAGCAGGGTGCACTATGGGAAGAAGAGAGGCCGGAGGAGGCAGTTATGCTCTAGGTCATGTTCTCCTTGGAAACATTGAGTCCTTGCGTTCATGTGGATGTTTGACACTTCCCACCCACCCAGAGATTGTTGCAGACCATGTTCATCTCTTCATGACAATGGTGTTCCATGATGGCATCGGCCTCTTCAGCAAGAAATTGCACCCTGCCACTCTGCACAAATTGTTCAGGAATGGTTCCCCACACAATCCAAAGCATTTCCGAAGTGCAGAAAGAGGGACCTTTTAAGTTAACCAGTATGAGTCGGGGTGTGGCCTGAGGCAGGGCAGTTCTGAGATATTTAGGGTAACTTACTAATAACTATTTATACAACTAAAATGTAATTTAGAATAATAATAACAATGTATCTTACTTACACAGACTGATTTATAAACACATTAATTGAAGCTTAAAGAAACATTACTGTGAGTTATTGCTGTGGAGCTCTGTTTTACACCTACACACCAACAATATGGAGCTCCTAGGAAAAAAGGGACATCAGGATAGAAAATTTAGGCCCCAAATAGGAACTGTCCCTCCTAAATTAGGTACACGTGGGAGGTGTGCGATGCTGTTATTTTTATCCAGAAATTTAGAAAATGTGTTTTTCATTTCCCCACAATTCACTGTTTAGTAAATGATAACAATTTAAAGGGCTGATGTGTAAACCGCTGATATCTTACGTGACATGACATCACAATGAGCCCTGAAACACACCTGACTTTACTCATCTGCACATGCTCCGTGCTTGTTTTTTAGCAAAACAATCTTGCAACTGTATACTCCCGCTATAGGGACCGTACTAAGTTGCACCTATCTAATAATGGGTTTCTGTTGAGCTTATTTGACCACAAGAGTGGAAAGTCAAGGTTTCTTTCCTGAATACCTAATTAGTAGTTTCATTTGATAACCAGACTTTCATTTATTAACTAAACAGAGGCCTTGAGGCCTTTCAAGATTTTCTAAACCATCCTTATTTGTTCTATCATTTAGTGCCAGGGTGCCCAAAAGGTAGATCCACATGATGCTTTCTAAATACATTCTAAAGCATTCTAAAGGCATGCAAAGCATCATGAGAGTGGTAGTTCTACAACATCTGGGGATCTACCTTTTATTTATTTATTTCCTAAAGGTATAATAGCTGACAGACGTATTAGTGAATGTATGAGGCATTCTGAGGCTGTTGGCCCAGAGTTGCCAGACATACCATGTTTTTTCCTGGACAGCACCTCGCCAATCTGCAACGCGAATCACAAGCTACCATCTTGAATACAGGATAAGATCCAAATCTGGGAATGAATAGCCAGGTGCTTTGTCACATTGGATTGCAAGCTCTGTGGCAAAAACTACTATTTTTGTGATCTTTTAATTCCCAAGGTTACTTGCTAAACAAATGTTTTAGAAAATTAAATGTAGCTTGCAAAATTTTATCTAAAATCACAGAGCAGTGCCAGGAGCTGGGTTAGAGAATACTTCTCAATAAACTTGTATAGCCACGCAGATATCATTTGTTAAAATTCACTGTTTACCACCTAGGGCTAAGGTCGATATTAAACAGGTCCCCCTGCAACGAGAACGGTCTCACATTTAATAACACAGATTACTATGGGCTGAAACCAGAGCTTGACATTTGCGGTACTTAGAATACCCAGTTATGGCATGTTTTATCTTTCTTTTTCCTTTTTATTGTATAATGCTTACAATTTCTCACAAAATGTATGTATGTATGAAAATGTACAAAAAATGACACTCACTAGCACATTCTTCCAAACTGAACACAATCACGCGAACTGTAACGATGGTATAATCAGATGTAAACTGGATTACGGATTGGTTACCTACACACGGACTGGTTACCTATACCAAAAATAAAGAATTTTAAAAAATAAATAAAATTCACTGTTTAGTGAGTAACTACTCCATGTCTTCAGTGTAGATCTATGTGTGTGACTCGTTGGAGCTAATGGTACATTGCAAGCATCATAATCAATATAGCCCCTCTGTAGTGGTTATGGTCCCAGGATGGTGGCGAGACCCTCCTGGAATAATCTATTAAACCACCTTAACAGTTAAACAATTTACCTGGGTCACCCGCCATGGGCACAAACTGAGCCAAGCCTGGCCAATTTAGGACCCTGCTGATTCGATCAGGCAATGCCACAGCCTTGATTAACTTAGTGGTAGTAACTGGATTCTCCTGCAAGGTAAGCTACAGTGCTTATGGTATGTGGAGTATTCCTTTAAGATAAATGATCAAATATATACGGATTACACAATGTAGTGGCAGACAGTGGAGAAGTAGCAATTGGAACAAAAAAACACAATAAACTTTTGATACTACCTTATCGTGGAAACTCCCTTGACTTCCTAAATATAGTTTTACATATTTAGCAAAAAATACAGCACTTTGTTGCACCGACACGTCTCCATATCGGCTTCTTTGAATTTGTTCAAACACTTACGCCTTCACAATATACATCTTCCTGTTCCTCTATCTGAGCAAAGTTTTCTACAAGGGTATCGTTCTTTAATTACTGATTGCACTTCCTCTTCCTTGCACTTATCTGGCTGTAAACCTTTGTACACATGGCCATACACGATATATGATGATAATGTACATATATAAAAATATTTATTTTATGCATTCAAATCCCATATTGTACAGTGAGGGATTTCACAGCATTCATTCAAAACTGTACAATCGACAATTAGATGGACACTGTGCAACGTGGGGGTCGCTAAGTCTCACAATGCCCATGATTTGTGCGAGTTACACTCTCAGGCACCAGCTGATGATTGTTGCTGCCACTATTAATTCAACCATCTACCTCTAATTACATACTGCTGGTAAAGGAGCTAAGGCGACAGGCATTTTAAATCTCTCTCCGCTGCTCTGATTATTAAAGGAACCCTCTAGACCAGGCTTCCCCAAACTCCGGTCCTCCCAGATGTTGCTGAACTTGAACTACCATGATTCTCAGCCTATCTATTTCATTCATAGAATCATGGGAGTTATAGTTCAGCAATATCTGGAGGGCCGGAGTTTGGGGAAGCCTGCTCTAGACATGACATTTCATGTCATTGAAGTGGCCTGGGTGCCGTGTCCCTCTCTCCTTAGCCCTGTAATATAAAACTTGGCAATATCAGAGAACCAGACCGGAGAATGACTGTCACAAACATTGGCACAGTTTACATTGATAGCGCACCCTAAGCAACATAGCCACTACAGCACATTAACCACCTCTTAGCACCAGCTGACACGGCGGCCAATGAATAACCTGATAACGTACACACCTGAAAATCGGGACTTCCACTTCAGCTGTGTAGGGAAGACTGTAAGCTGAATGGGTACCTGGAGGGACCCAGCAAGTTTGACCTTTTACCAGGGGTTGTTGCTGGGGGATTCTTAGCACCATAACCACTACAGTGGGCTAATTTTTTTTTTTTCTTTGATACGCTCAAGGAAGTTAGATTTATATAAGGTTATATATTTCCTATAATGAAATATATTCCATAATAGCCCCAAAATGTCTTGTTTTGATGTAAATGTTGTAACTCATTGGTCGTCTCGCCAGAATGATAAATAATGCAATCCTTATCGCTTTTTACTGTTAAATGCCCCTAACAGATTTGGCATTACTGAAGATTAATGAACATTATGGCACGCTGCGAAATGCACAGACCATATCAATAAAGAAAACATGGTTTTAGAAATTTGCATGGCATGTAGGATGTGACTGAACATCCCCTCTAATGCAGTGTTCTAGAATGTTGAGATAGATTTGGGAAAACATAGCAAAGAATAAGGCAATCAGTAGATGTGTGGAATAAATCCCTACTTTCCCCTCGATTTAAAGCCTGCACACATTCTCTTAGTGTAATTTTCAAAAAAAAGAGTTCAGAGCTCAGAAGGTAGAATTCAAAAGCCACCTGGAAAATCAGATTAAACGATTTTGGACTCAATAAAATTCAGTGCAGACGGCAACTACGCTCCCATCTGATGTTATAAATAGGGACAGATTCTAACCCCGCATATACCAGCCGTTCGCTCCCCATCCAATCTGCTCTGCCTGGGCAATCGCCGGGCAGAGTCAGCAAACTGGCAGCGAGGGATAAACAGTGATTGTTGTATTTTTTAGAATTCCTTTCACGTTCGTATACTTCCCAAAATAAAGCTTTGAATAACAGCAGTAGGGATACGTCCAGGACTTCATGTCTGACAATTTCTGAAGAATACAAATGTAGTTGTTTTTTTTTTAATTATTATTTCTTATTTTTTTTGAGATTTTGTCTTGGCTACATTCAATCCGTCTGTCTCTACAGCTAGAAATAAAACTGAGAAAAAGCACGCTAGAAAATTTTATCATTATTTAAAAGCTGCCAACATATTCAGTAGCGCTGTACAGTAGGTGAATAAGGCATTTAAGTTATTGTAACAGGACATCTTTAGCAAAAGAGAAAAAAAAATGTTGATTGTCTTGTTAATAGAGAGTTGGCATATACATCAACTGTAAATACATATTGGATGGGGGAGTGGGGAGCCACATATTAAGCAATGTATTCATGCTCTTTCTTAGTAAATAAAACATTGGCTTAGCACGCTAATGTGAATTATTACAGGTGTGTGTGTGTTATGTCAGTCCGTATTTATGTCTGTGAATATGTATGTGTCTGTGAGTTTGTATCTGTGCGCAGGTGTGGGACTGTGTGCCAAGGGGCCAGGAGTTGTAGAGGCCCTGTACTCTCTGAGGGCAACTGTGAGCATAATACTATAACTATACGTCAGAGGAAAGTAGGGGTTGTACACGCCCACAGCGCATACACCATAACATTATGGATCGTAACAAGATACTACCCCAATCCTGGAGATCAGATATTAATTATGGAATATCATATAAGGCTTTATATAAAGAATACTCTTTAACCTAACCTGAAATATTCCATCCATGTTACAGGCTAACGTCTAGCTTGCTTCCCGTTCATTATTGGTCACCCCAGCAGCAAAAGGATTAAGAGTAAAACGCAGATTTTTGACCCAGAAATTGGGCCCTCGGGCAGATCATACTAAATGCTTCCTGTGGGTCTGCTTAGCGGTGAAAATATTAGTGATCTGCGTGCAATGGAAGCCAGTGAGAGAGTCATTTCCAGCCAGACTGTCTGAAAACATTTATCACAATGTGGTTTCAAAATCAAAATATCCTACTTTGCTGTTCAGAGAATTCACAGAAATCATCTACCTCCCCCCCAGTAAGCTTGCCAAGTAAATTGTGTAATTGCAAAATATCTCTTTTATTGTGGAAGGATAAGGTCACTAGAGCATGATGGGTGTTTAATTATAAAATGGTAGGTACACGAGTGACAGGATTATATGGAATGTTGATAATTTAAAGAAAAATGAAATTAGTATTAAAACTCCCATAATGCTTTGCCAACCTTAAAGGGGAACTGATACTTTTCAGAATTTCTTATTTTATGTTTACGTATCCCCTATATTTCACCAATATGTAATTGTGAGGTGTAAAAAAAAAAAAAAAAAGTTGAAATCCACACCCATCTCTCTTAAATGGCACTGCCATTTTAATTCCCTGTCAGTCACTGTTATATACTCTGTCCTTTGTACCTGGCAGTCAGCTTAGAAAAAAACATAGAGAAGAGTAGAAATTAAACCATGCTTCTATATCTGCTTATTAGCAATGCGTGCCTTGACTGTGCCTAGACTGAACTGGTGATATGCTTAATAATATTATACATTTTATAGAAAATGGAGCATCACATACAATCCATTAACACAAGTTACAGGTAATTTAAAGTGTTTTATTCAATGGTATAATTTTCAGAGAAGTGATCGTTTCCCTTTAAGACTACCTTAGCATTATGGGTGTTGTAGTTTTACATCCTCTATGGCGTCTATCTTTTTGCCATTGCCACGGAGCTAAGCGTTATTAAGGAATTAACTTTTAAAACAGGGCTCCAGAGGAAGCAATGGTGGGTGGCCAGCGGGCCCCCGGTAACAGTTTGATTACGTACTGTGGAGGGATGCCCACGAACTACAGGCTCCATAGCCAATACAGGGGACTGGAGTTCTAATGATGCTTGAAGTGTCCTTTAAAGCTCATTGTTTGGTGAATAGACACCTATTCCCTAAGGAAAGTGACAAGTGACTGCTTTTAAAATGTTCTATACATGTAATATTTATATGTACCAAAATAAGCGTATAGTCATTGCCCGCTGTGACCTTGGTTTTCCAGCCGACGAAATGAAGGGCACTTCGGAGTGATGTATTTTAAAGTCATTTTGGTTAACTCATAGTGACTCAGTAAAAGACCAGTCTTTTAAAAAAAAAAAAAAAATTCTCACAGTTCTAAACTCGTTCCGTAGGCTGTGAGCTCAGAATGCTAAACGCAGAGTACAGAAGTAGACAATAAACTCGAGGCAGGAAACAGAAAGTGGGCTTCCTAGTAGCACACACACAAAATAAAACGTGCTATCCGTTATTAATCTGTGGGGACAGTCAGGCTGGAATTCTCCCCACCAATGTGCAACCAATCAACTATGCAAACCTCTTAATGAATTGTCACTTCTTTGCCCTTCCATTTTCTGTCCAATTAATTCTTTTATTGTGAACCGGATAAAAGCAGACAAAAAAGGCTTTCCACGCAATAATGGATCATTAAAATGCAGCAGCCCCTCACTCCCCCCTGTTGCTCTCTCTCTGGCCATTCCCCAGAAGACTGAACTGTTTTGAATTTGCGCTGCCCAAGTTGAGATCATTCAGTAATTTAACCCTTTATAAGATAAGACAAACATAAGAAGAAGACTATTTAAAATAAAATCCTTTTTGAGATATCGGTGGCCTTTTTGACATTTGAATACACAGAAAAAAAACCTGGGTAGGGTACAAACACTGCATTTTTTTATTTTCTTATGTTTATATTATTTATTTGAATAGAGATGTGTGCCAGTTTGTCATTCTGCGTTGCTATATTTTCATTTAAATCAAAATATTTGAAAATGAGACTATGGCAAACAGCTGTAAATTCAACCAGCTGTCAAACGTTTTAACACTCTAGAACATACCCTTTTTTTGTAGCCTCAAAATTCATAAGCAAGGGCATAGGGCATGAGTAGGAATTAACCTACCCAGTCACTGGCGGCGTCATAAACCAATCGTTATGGGCTCGTTCTAATGATAAGCTAGAATTCCCAGAAATTATATACTTACTAACAATGATAAATGACCCAGCATTGCTTAGAGTTCCATATTTGCATTAAATAGTTAATATTACAATAATTACTTAAGTCTCTTAGAGACAATAATAATAGAAACAGAATGTATCTTACTTTGGCGTCACTTACAATCATTTTGCCAATTAGCTACCTAATCCCAAGGGGTTAAAGCAGCTGACTCGTTATGGCCTAGACCTCTGAAGCGTCATTTTAGTCGGTGAAATTTCTCACAACTGAAAAAGCTATTTGTGCCGAAAAGCCCAACAGAAGTGCAATTTAACTAATGTGTTCAAACTTTCCATAATGCAAAAGGAAAGGGGGGGAGATATTTATATGGCCAAACATATGATTTATATCTCTTGTTAAATCAGACTTGCCACTTGTGTGATCTCTGCACAAACTAAAGCGAACTAATAGCTATACTGAAAAAAATAATCGCGTTTTTTAATTTATTTTTTATTGTCCTGCCCAGCCAGGAATGACATGTAAATTAAATTACTTCCTTCAAGTGCTTACTATCTTAATTTAGAGGGACAAAGGTTTAAAAATTATTTCAGGAAGTATTACTTTACTGAGAGAGGAGTGGACGCATGGAACAGCCTTCCAGCTGAAGTGGTAGAGGTTAACACAGTGAAGGAATTTAAGCATGCGTGGGATAGGCATAAGGCTATCCTAACTATAAGATAAGGCCAGGGACTAATGAAAGTATTTAGAAAATTGGACAGACTAGATGGGCCGAATGGTTCTTATCTGCCGTCACATTCTATGTTTCTATGTGGCAATTTTGAAGGAAGGCCCGAGTGCCCGTTTCCTCATACAGTATTTATCTGTAGATGCCCTGGGGCATCATGGGATCTGAAACTCACCCAGGATTTATTAGTGCAGCAGAGTTAATTGTGTTTTCTTTACTCACCTCCCCTAGATTATTTACCCCAGTAAGTGTTTCAGCAGTGTTTACTGGATTGAGGGAATTTAGAAAAAACAGATTTACCTCAGCATATATATTATTTTTTAAAAATAGCAGTTTTAAAGATAATGTTATTATTAATTTGCAAGTTACATTGTCTGCTGGCCTTGAAACATATTTGCCATCAATCACCTGACTTGTTACCTGATCTAAGTGCCCACTAGTGGTATGATTAGAGGTTATTCAATAAGGTGAGAATTCAAAGTGAATTTGAGATTGAAGTCAAGTATGCTTCCGGTTCAGCTAATTCAGCCTAAATTTGAGATTCAATTTGAATTCTCAATTAGTGAATAACCCTGTTAATTGCGAGTGATCCCAGAAAAAAAATGAATATCTATATGCCTTCTGTCCTAACGAGTTCTGTGGCAGAATGTGCATGATTATTTTCAGAAATCACAACACAGGGTTTATGCACTACAGATTTTAGTCTAAAACATTTGATCTATGCTATTTTTGGTGCTTATTTGAAATTCTCTAGTAAAATCTCCACAATTATTAAGGTGATGAGTTCTGTTTTATGATAATAAAATAATTTTTTAATAAATTAAAAATGATAGGGTTGTTTAAAGTGTTAATTCCTGGGAACTCAAAGTGAATAATTTGGTAAAAATCTGATATGGTACAAATTCTATAAATGTCTATGTTTTTAGGTCTGTTATTTTTGACTGAAATTCATTTTTAATTCCGACCAATTCACATTTTAGTGAACAACCCTGTCTGTTGGATGAACAGTGTTAAGATGGGACAATCCTTACAATTTGCAATATTCACAGCTTGCTTGGCACTGGCTATATTTACCAAATTCCTTTTTTCCCCAGTACATCACAAATTACGGTTAGTGGATAATGCTTTTTGTGCCCCATGTTGGATTCAAGTAACTTTTTATTGAATAAACTCTTTGTATCCTATGTTATGCACAAGTCACCTTTTATTGAATAACCCCTTTGTGTCATATGTATTTCAGTGATGGAACATAAACGTGGTACAGTATACTGAATGTTTATATAAGTAAGTGAGTCTCCATTAATTGCATTCAGTGTATGAACTGCTGCGTCTGACAATTATATACCTTCCTAGGATACTCCAATTATAACACACCACTTTCCCAAGGCAAACAAAACGTAGACTCTAGACACACAGTACTTAAGTATATTTTGCAGTGCTCTGGGCCACATCTTCAGTAAATAGGGGACTCTGACAAATAGTTTCCACATTTATGTAGTCTTGATTCACTGTGGGCTGGTCCAGACTCAATCCTTATGGTTTCACGGTTGTTGTTTCAAATTGATAGATGTCAGGAAGACAAAATTCAGAACTCTTAATGATGCAATCAAACCATATTGAAATGTTATAGATGTGTTAACCCTTCAGGAACATTTGTTAAGCCTTTCATTTAAAAAAAATATAATAATGCATTTTAAACTACATATGTGCCAAAATAAACTCTGCAGTGTGTTTAATCTGTTTATTAATTATAGTGCAAGTGCAAACTATGTACAGATATCACAGTATACTTTATATACTATATTTTCTGCAGCGGAGGAATCCATTTTGACTGTTAACCCCTTCAAGGTGGAAAAATAATCAATACTATGAGCCATTACCTAAAGTTAGATAATGATCAACTTGAGCTGCCAAAAAGTTAAAAATTATTCTCCTAGATTTGAATTGTGACTCCTACAGGCATCAAAATAAAGTATCTGCTTTTTTCTCCTTCAGAATCACTTAACGTTAAAGTCAGTAAACCGCTATAGACACTGAACATTAGCTTAAATACATAGTTTAAGGGAGTATCGACTCAAATTATGTTAGAATACAGTCTCTAGGGTGGTGGGAACAAAATGTCTTCGATATTAGATAACGTCTGCATAATAAAGTTGCCAAGGAACCTATATTAAACATAACAGAATATTAGCATATTTAAAAGCTATCTAAGATGGTCTATCAGTTTATTTCATCTCCAGACTAAGAATGTGAAACCCAAAATATTTAAGAAACTTTCTGGCCTCACTAGGCTACTGGTTAGAATTAATCTGGCTAAACAAAAAAAAAAAATGAATAGTTTGAGTCTGGAATATTGCTAAATTTAGTTATAAAAATGTAACATACACACTACGCAGAATAGAAAATGTTAATATTTTCTTGAATTAATAACGTCTGTTTGATCTAGACAAGTCCTTTTTTTTCATTAAAATAGAAATGTAATGAGTGCTTAGAACTCCAAACTGCTGTGAATTAAAAACCAAGCTACTAAATATTTAGAGGTCTTTTCCAAATCAGCATTTTTGCCAAAATGTTGCCATTCCATTTACAATGCACTAAGGTTCAGCATTTAGTCAATGAAACCCACTATATAAGATTCTGTTGTAGCACAAAATTACAATTCATAAATTAACAACCGAATGAGCAAACTGAAGATTTGAAATGGATTGTGCGGTTGAAGTATGGAAATTACTGATAACATCAGAATTCTTTATTTCGTAGAACCAAGAATCAAGTATTTCCCATTTAAAGAGAATATAACACAAAACAGTTTTGATAAAAAGCCATTTTAATTTTTTCAAAAAAGATAGAATATACAAAAGTTAGCTTAGCTTAATGGAGAAACAGACAGCTGCATGTTACACATCTAATCTCACACCTGGAACAAAAAATAGGATTTATCTTAAATGCGCAACAAGAAATATCGGAATGGAGAGTCAATTTAGAAAGAGTAAGAAATTTAGAAACAAAAATAAAATTTTCTAAAACTGTGTTTCAAATGTACAATTCTTTTTTTTTTCAGTTTCTATTTTAAAAGGCACGACTTAATAAAAATAGAAGATATTATATGCTCAGCATACAATGATAAGGAGTGACAAAACATGAAAAAGCTAAAAACATCTGCTATTAGTTACAAATCTATCAAATATCGAGGTGAGGGTTTAGTGTTTTAGCAATCGGGGGGACAATCATTTCCCAAAATGGCAGCCTTTGATTACTTTACTTAAAACGGATTATAGTAAAAAATATATTTTAGATACGCTATTATGGGAAATTGTCCAACCATAAAGTCACGTCATTGCTAATAAAGTTTATGTTGAATTGCAACAGATTCAAATATTTGTAATTTTTTTTAGGATATCCTTTTAAAAGATTTTTTTTTTTTTTAACTCTCTATCCTAATCCAATGACAGGTTGTCCCCCACCTCTGTTAATTACAAATTAAACATGACTGTTCTTGTGCTATTCCAAGTTTTTCTTCACAAATAAAAGTAATTAATCACTTATAATAAGCACATAAATATTTTATATATATTTAACAGATCTCAGAACTATAAGAATGTTTGAAAACAAAAATATTAAAAAAAACAAAAAATAAAATGTTAATTACAGCCAAAAAATTTCTTACAAAATATTTTCCACTGAAATGGTCACTTTGTAAATCACTAAAGCCTGAGACAGAAAAAAAAAAAAGAGCCAGGATGTTTGGTGCCCTCTTTCTAAAGTCCCGTTACAGTTGGACTGACAGACAATGCACCGGAAGCCCAGTCTGACAATAAGAGCGTTCGTGATGATACAAGTCTAGCAGACGTGGCACTCACACATTCGGCAGTATAATGATAAACATTGAATAATGCCTTCAAACACACCATGCTACCAAAGGAAATAAGTAGTTGACTGTCCTAAAAGGACCACTGTATTTTCCCAGCACTGTCCCCGATGCTTTTCACCTACACCATAAATGATGGGTTAGAGCTGGGTTAATTGGTCAAAGTACATCCTAATGGTTGGTCGGTATCGTACACTGCAGTAAACTTGGCACCACCAAGTTTTCCCAGAGACACAAAGTCCTCATATGGAAACCAGAAGCCCATCCTTCATCTTATATGTTACGGTCCATAAAAATAAAAAAAATAAAGAAAAGAGCAAAGAGCAAAGTTTTTAGTTTTTCTTTTGTGGAAGAGTATGGAAGCTCACGGCCCCCTTCTGATACAGGAGCACTTCCTCATTTTATCAGCAGGCACTTGGAATAATCTGGCACTGCGCCTCCTAACGACTTGGTCAGTCTATAGTGCATGTCTTGCTGGAAGACCAGAGACATTAATATGGCATTTTGTCCTCAGTTCAAGGAAGTAACACTCTTAAGGTCTAGTTAGTGTTGTGTACACTGGCTGGTCCCAGTTGGAATTGGGGCTGTGAGATGGTGGAATTGACAAGCTGTTAAGGATTGGGGTGGCATATGGGCGTCGAGATGAATGGAAATATGGATACTGGTAAAGGCTGGATGGATACCCGGAATATGGGTTATAATAGTTGGAGCTTGGGAGGTCTGGGTAGTCACACTGGGAACTAGGGAAAGAGCTGGTCACTGAGGCACTAGGCACAGTAGTGGCACAAGCCTGAGCAGTGTAGGTGTTGTAGTCAGAATGAGTTGGTGACCCGTGGGACTGGTCACTGTAATGGCTCGGACTTAACTGCTCGGTCTTGATGTGAGGCCTCTGCTGTCCAGATTCATTGGAAGAGGAAGCAGAAGAAGGATTCTTATGGGACCATACAGTAGCTTGTGTGTTCGAAGCTGGATGGGTATAGGTCGTGGCGTAGGGTGCTGCTGCGGGATTCTGACCATGGTCAGCTGGAATAGCCCCATGACCATTGAGTGGCAAGTACTGGTCAAATTCATGCACGTCAAACGCCTCTATGTTGTTTATGACATCACTACTTAGTTCATTGATGTCCACATTGCTGAAATCAATGTTTTGTCGTCCATTATCCATCATTCTTCTTCCTTCATGCTTCAGTTCCTGCTTGCTGCCATGGTGCAGGTCGGTTTTAGGTGTAGTTGGTGGAGTTGGAGGTCCATGAGTTTGACCTTAAAAGGAGAAAAATTAATTTAATTGAAAGAGTTCATAATGGTCACAATTGGTGTTGACAATTACTATTACCCAACTACTAGGATACCAAGCTTTAAAAAACACCATTATAGAATTAAACGTTAGAATTTGATGATATTTCAAGTTTTTGGTATGTTACTAAACGCATCATTGCTTGGGACATAATAGCATATTGATGGCAAAAACACAGTAATGTGCAGTGTATGAGTGTATCACAGAGCTCCACAGCAAGCAGTACTGTGCAGAGTGTATTAGTGTAGCATAGAGCTCCAACGGAATAACTCATTAATGTACAGCATGTATAAGTGAGTCACAGAGCTCCACAACAATGTGCATCACAACGGACATAGCTCAGAGTAATGCATCTTAAACACTACCAAATCTTTTTATATTAGTTTGTGTCAACAATATTCTTTAGTCCTGCTCATTCCTGTTACTAGCTTGTAAAACGACAACATCTCAAGCCACACCACCTAACAGATGAATGTCTCTTTTTTGGCTGGTTGATATATTGTGTGTTACATAGCAGAAACTAAAATCTAACTATATCTGCCTTCCGATTCACATTGTAGGGAAAAAGTTTAACTTTCATTTAATCTATTGTTGATCATATTAAATGTAGAATTCTAAATTCAGAGCCTTGACAGCTAATTTGCAACAACTTTCAAACACCTCGGCTTTAGCCCAATACCATCTGCTGGGCTCAAAATCTTCAGTAAATTGCCACAAAGCTCTATTTATTTTTCATAATCGCTTACGTGTATAAAATATCTAGTATAATTGTTATACATTAAAAAAAAAAAAAAAAATGATTCCACCAGTTCCTGTGTTTATACATTTTCTGACTATAGAGCATCTGTTTTAGTTGAGGGTAGGATGGTTCTGCAAAAAGTGTAGCATAGAGCAAAATGTGTTCAAAATGTAAACATCTGATGGCCTTATCTTCATGAGCAGGCAGTTTTTCATATGAATAACGACCGAAGAAGTTTGCTAGCAGGTATCCTGATTTTATAATTATGGCAGGATTATTTTTTTCTGACCATATCAGATTCTGAATATGGATAAACTAAGCTAAACTAGGAGAGAAATAAGGTAAACAATTCAAGGTTGGGCTTATTTATGCAAGACATGTATCAGACAATAGCAACTGCATTAAATTTAAGCTAGATTTTGTATAAAGCCTTAAAAAAAAAAAATGGGTTCTAGAATTTCTTAAAATTCTAAAAAAAATAAAAGATTATCTTAATTACAAGGGATAGCGAGTTGCGTCTGTCCCAATGTTTCTGAACAGTAACTGCTCTCCACCCCAGCTGTAGTACAATTAGTACCTGTATGTTCCCCGTGAAGATCTCCCATAGCGCCCATCCCTGAATCGGTTTTGTACATCTGATGGCTGAGCTCTGCCCCAGAGTCAGAGTCGCTCTGGCCAGCTTTGACACTCTTTCTCCTGCGTGGTTGGTACTTGTAATCAGGATGGTCTTTCTTGTGCTGTACTCGCAGTCTCTCGGCTTCTTCTACAAAGGGTCGTTTCTCGTTTTCGCTCAGTAAGCTGTAGGTGAAGAAAAGATTTGGATGAGCCAGCTGGCAATTTAAAACGAACACATAACCAGGTGATTGCTTTGCAGAGAAGAATACTTGGCCAAGGATGCAAACTAACAATTGTCCTATGTTCATCCCAGTTATTATGCAAAATACAGAGTTTAATTAAGGTAGGTAGCAAAAAAAAAATAAATAAATAAAAAAAAAGTTAAGTGATTTTTAAAAAATTATTATTAAAAGGTTAAAATGCACCAATTTTATGTCTCAAAAATAAAGTTTACCAATTCCTATTACCAACTGTAATGTGATCTAAAGTCACTTACTATCCAATCTCTGGTCAGCTGCCTGTGGGAGACAGTTCAGGAAGACCTCTGCAATAAAATTCTAGGATTTGGGGATTATCAACTTCCCGAATCCAACATTCCTAAAGTAAGGAATCATTTTCTCAATGGTTTAAGCTTAAAGATGCAACTCTAGTTACAAAGGAGTTTAATTTCTCTTTATGCAATCACTGGGGATAATAACTTTTCAAGTGATCTTTGCTGACTGACTGCCACAGACAACATTTGAAATATCTGTACAGAGCGATAAGTCTAAACAGTGCCGGCATTGTATCTTATTACACTGCCAAACCTGGCAGCAATTTTTACATTTTATTTCTTGTACTTTGAGTCTTTGCATATTTAAAAAAAAGATTACAAAAATTATAAAAGGGTTCCTTTTTGTCCACCACATAAAAAGTAATTATTTTTTTTTTCTCGCAATGAAATAAAATAATTGATTTTGGCTTTCCTTATGTCCTATAATTCTCAATATGAGTTGTTTTTGTGCATCACTGTAGGTCAAAAATAAAATAAATTATAAATTTAAATAGCAGTGAAACAAATACGAAGAAATTCTGTTTCCCAGTTTATTCTTCTTTACTGCATACATGATATTCCCTTGAAGTTTTAAAACGGGGGTGGAGGAAAAAAGTACTTCTTTAATTTAAACAGTGCAAATGAGTATTGAAATATAGATTCAGAAGGGGAAGATGGTCTGTGTCTTATGGGTATAAGAAAGGCACAAATTCTGGTTTAACTCTTTATATCCTGTGTCAGTGTTAAGTGTAGGTTTGTGAAGTTACAATGCGAAGGATGATAAATTATTATTTACGCATACACACACAAAATATTTGCAAAAAAGAATAAGAAAGACTGTAAAATTTAAAATAAGTAATTAAAACGTTTAAGAGTAATTATAGTAATAGGTTAAACCTTGCACACACAAAAAAACCTAACACCTAAAAGTCCTAATCGCTAGGTTTGTTTAAATGGTTGTCAAGCCGCTGTGGGTATCCTGGGCCACAACTATCCAGATATTTTGTGTTTGTTGAAGAAAAAAAAAAAAAAGCCACATTAACCCCTTAAGGACACAACTTAATAAAAAGGGAATCATGACGGAATAGTTCCGTCATGTGTCCTTAAGGGGTTAAGACTGTCGTCCGAGTAAAAAGCAAGTTGTAAACCCACTTACACAATTAGTCAAGAGATTACAGTTAAAAAAATTATTTTCCAATTCAGATTGGAGAGTTTTCCTAGTTACAATTCTGTATTTAATAACTCACTAAAGCAACAGACACCTACCACATTTATTTTTTATGATGATGATTTTCTTTCTATTTATTTATTTATTTTTTAATTATCTTTTTTTTGGGAGGACTGTTTTTAAAGGTCACTCATTTCAAAATCTAATATTTTTTTTTAGATTTTAACCTGTTCACTACCCATGTAAGGGGAAAATAAATTCTACTTAGCGCCGTGATTAAAAATTGGAACCAATTTTATTTAACGTAAGCCAAAATGAAAATCTTTATTGTAAAAAACAAAAAAACCCTTTGACTCGATTCCCAAGTCATGTTTTCTACAACTACAAAAATCGTGTAAAATGGCAAATACTTGCTATTTAACCGCTTGTGAAAAACAAACAAAAAAAAAAAATGCACACAATAAACACAAGATCACAGTGGATAATCACCAAGACAAAACAAAAAACCTAACCAAGCCTTATTCACTAAATAACTTTCTCCAAATATTTGTTAGGGATTCTCTAATAGGGAATGTGATTTTTGTGCCAAAGAAGTGTAATTACAAGACATTTATTCCAGTCTTCAACATTTATACAAAAACTGTCTCAATTACACACTTAACAAAAAATATATATTTTTTTAAATTGCTCAATTAATTAGTCTATAATTAATTATAACATTTTGGTACTCTGTATTCTTCAAACCGATACCTGTTAAAATACAGGTTAATAGTTATTCTTTTACAAAATTGCTTGACGTGCGTCATGCTAAGTGGAAGGAGGAGTAATTTAATTTAACCGCTTAACCGCCAGGGGAGATTACAGTGTATTTCTTACAATTGAACAGTCACCACCTAGCGTTGAAAGAGTTAAGATGTAGGGTGCAAAGAGAACTTATTATTGTTAAGCCTATACCATGTATCTGTCAGATTGCCAGAATGTTTAATAACTTTTAGCGGCTACAGTAAAGAAAAGATTAGTCATTTCTCGAAATGAAGGCCAAATTATTTCAGATTAATATTTTATTTATTGGAGCGCAGGGGTAGGGATTAATTTGGTTTTATTACACAGAATCTGGAAATTTGTAATGAAAAAACAAAAAAAACGGCATATAATGTTAATGTAACAAGAGTTAAAGAATTAGGAGGTACGCTGTTGAAGATATAGCGTCAATATATTCAACGGCACTGCAAATATTTGCAGGCACAAAGCTGCCAACACTCTGGTGAAGGAGAATTTGAACACGCCACTTACTTCCAGGTAACCCCAAAAAACACTTCATAGTTCTTATGCACAATTATGTGTATTTTAGTGAGCTGTCAATCAGTTTACATAATTTAAGTAATGTGATTTTTTCCTTTTTTATTTTTCCTATTTTTTTTTTTTGTCCACTTACACCGAATAAGCCTCCTTCTACAGTTTACAATACTAAATATTTAATTTACAATATTGTACCTTAATGCACTTGTACAGAAACAGTAGGTAGGTTGAAGTTGATCCACTGGAGGACAGATGGAGAGATCTGGAACACCAGCCTGGATCTCTACTTATAAACCATATCCCGAGCCATTTATTTTTAAAGTGGCAACGAATCTGCATTTAGCTGGTCTAAAACCTATGTTGTAAAATGAGCGTTTTATTACATGACAGAAGTGGGTATTTTGCACCAAATTGTTTGCACTTAAATTATTTGCACCAATTGAGGAGTGGGATCATATCAAAATCCCCAGTAAGGTTTGTAGGGTCATATGTCTTGCCCAGTGGAAGTCATAATTATTGCAAGAGAACGTAATTGATCAAGCCCAGTCCAATGGTACTGGGCGCAGTTACCCAGAGATATGGGTGAGCTTTGATCTATAAGCTATGGCGGTGTTCAATTATTTATAAGGTGCCAACATATTCTGCAGTGCAGTACAATGGGAAGACAAATCACAGGCCAATTCCAACAGAAACAAGAATTTGTTAAGGGAGAGAAAACATGAGCTTACAATCTATGAGGCTAACGCCTGTTACACAATCTTACAAGCCTGTCTGACAGTAAATAAAAGATTAGTCATTAAATGGGGGCAGAACAAAATTCTAATCACTTTCACCAGAATTCCACAAGAATTATACTACTCATGCATAGCAACAAAATAATCAAATTCCCATGCCTTTTAGGGCCAAGGATCCCAAGATTAATATGCGAACTGTGAACTTAACTGTATTTCTAATAAGTGTTAAAGAGAAAATTAGAAAAAAAATTACTCTAGCCAAGAGACCTAGGATGTATAATGGACAACGCCACTTACATGCTGTGTAATATCCCAACACTTCACAGAGGCCTACATGCTGTGGAATACACTAGGGGATAACGTTTCAGGCTTTAGTGGTCCTTCCTCAGCTTCTGTGACTGAATGTAACATAAAACTAAAAGTCAATCAGGGTCGGTCAGAACTGTTTTGTTTTTTTGTTTGTTAAATTTACCTGCAATAAGCTCTGAAAGTACATTTCACAGGATTTAAGTCTCTGGGGTTTTAAAAAGTGTAATAAGCATGTATGCTTTTGAATTGGCATCCCCTGGTGGAACTTTCTATGTGTTTTGCAATCTAGGTATATCTGCAGTGGTAGCAGTGTTTTAAGTTGGATTTTTGGAAGATAATTTGGGGTAATATAGATTTCGGTCCCTAAGTCAGAATATGGCATAGAATCGGGGGGCTGACTATGTGGGAGCAGGAAGATAATTGGCCCTAAGCTAGGTCTGATTTGCAAGAAAAGTTGGCCTGCAAAGTGTTTTTGGGCTGCAGCATTGCTGGGCAATAGGCTAGCCATTCCCTCCAGGATACAATTTGACAGCTGCCCGGAGTGGCATTAAGCACCTGTTTTACACTGAGAGATAAGTATTGTCTGGCAATTACACAGCTCAATATTAACCCTTTGGAAGAATAAGAGACTGTAAAACACTGCAATGGATGGGCAGCCCTGCCACTCAGCGGGTGCATTGGCAGACTGGGTACTGGGCACCCAAAAGATGAACAAGGGAAGGATAGAGAGTTGTGACTAACAAAAAAGACTGCTGTCAGTATGGCTTAAAAAAATATATATAATCACCCAATTTGTCAGTGAACAAATTTCTTTGTTTCAGAGAAAATATAGTTCCAGTAAGTTTTATGAATTTACAGATATGTTGGCAGTTTAGATTTATTACAATAAACTGCCACAGTGCAATTTGTATAAACATGAGATTATTTTTAACAAACACACACACACACACACACACACAATACTGAATTACCGAAAACACTCTACATCTGTCAATTATGGGTATATATATATATATATATATATATTAAAATTAGATATATACAAATAGGGGTTTATATCTAGATATTTGTAATTTGAACATATGTCCTGGGTACTGAACACACCACATTTGCAGACTGTACATAACTTGCTCTACAGGGGGCAACAATTTAGAAATTACATATCATTCTTATACACCCATTAAATCATTTATGGTGTGTATGCATATCAGATATCTAAAATGTGCGTATGTAATTATAATTATTTATATATATACACACACACATACATTTTAATGTTTTGTCATAAATTCGCTGATGTGTAAAGGTTTGTTTAGCTTTATCCATTTATGTATTTATTTGCTGGAGTGAAATTATGTTAATATGCAAACACACTATGAGCATATACAATACATAACACACAGCTGTGTAAGAGTTTACTGGATGGGCATAGTTTGGCTAGACTGCTTGTCAGTACTAATAACTACTACCACCTCCTCTAATAGATAGCATAGGAATCTTACAGTCTTGTTAATTTTCACCTATTAGAACACTGTAAGATGACCTTGTATCAGTCTACTTTACTATGAGAACAAAAAACAAACTTTTTTGGTTCCTAGTACAGCGAACAGATCTTTTAATTTTAAATTTTCTAGTAAACAAGGAATCTATTAAATCACCATTCCCTATTGTATGACAATACCTAAACATTTTGAGTGATTTCATATAGAAGAATATTTCAATAAGAGAAATGTAATCATCTAACAGTCCATGAGACCAGAATAAAGTATCTAACAGTGCATTAAACCAGATATAATAATCTAATACATATCAGAAAGTTATACCAAGGACAAATGAATAGCCATGTCTGGCAGGGTCAGTATCAGAAAAGTAAATCAATCATGTATTATCAGTACCTATTCTATAAACCAGAGAAAGCTAGCCTTCTAATTACAGAGTGTAATCACCTTCACAATTATTAGACTAGGAGGGTAACAAAGTAACACCTAGGTTTGCACAGCACAGGACCAATGATCCCCCCAAACACAGCACATGCAATGTCATGGTAAGGGTGTGGATAGGTAGGTAGGTGGCATCCTGGCAGAGGTGTACTTACCGCCATAGCTTGCCCAGGGTCTTGCTGAGCTCTGCATTGTGGAGGTGTGGGTACTGATCTGCCAGCTTCCTCCTTGCAGCCTGTGCCCACACCATGAAGGCATTCATGGGTCTCTTGACATGGGGTTTGGCTTTAAGGGCTCCTGACCCCCGGACTGGCATGGGCACCAGGCTCCAGTCATAGCCTTTCAGGACCTGGGACACTGCCTCCCGGATGCAGGCTGGGAAGCGCTCGTCCATGGGGCCCTCGGGGTCGCTCTTGGAGAGCGGGGAGATGCCCGGGGGTCTGTGGGACCCCTCGGAGCCGGCCGGGGACAGAGGGGAGTCGGAGTCCGAGTCTGACACGTGGGACATGGAGCTGGCGGTGCCCGCGGGGCTGCAGGGGCCCTCCGGAGCCTGCTCCTGGTCGCTCATGTTCAGCATTGGGGAGCCGGGGTGGGGGTGTCTGTCGGCAGGCGCGGAGCGCAGCGCGCGGCTCAGGCTGGACTCCGCGGGTCCCACTGGCACAGGCAGGGCACAGCCCGGGCTCTCACTGATCCAATGGTAGCAAGCCCTCCAGGACACCAGACGCTCTGTGATTTAATTTCTAGTCTGCGGCTCCTTTAAGAGTAAAGTCCAGGGGGCTGATGAGGGGCCCCAGGTCAGAGTACGGGGCCCTGGGATGTGATAGTGGGGACGCTGTGGGTGCAGGTTCCCGGCTCTGTCACTATTAAAGCTCCTGCAGCAGAGTTCTCATTGAGTCCTCCCAGGGACCAGCCAGCTCCTATAAGAAGGGCCGGGGGGGACAGCCTCCTCCTGGTCATTGGGCGCAGGGAGGGGGGGGGGGAGGCTCTTTAAATTTCTTAAAGGGAGAGTGTCACTTTCTCCTCACTGCCAATGTTTTCCCACGTGAGTCTCTGCGTTTGTGCATCTGCTCTCTGTATCCCTTCCAATGTGTGCTTGTATGTCAGGACTGTGTTTGTGTCCTCAGTGTGAGTGTGCCTGTAATGTATATGTGAATACATACAGAGAGTGTCTGTGTATGTCTCTTCTGTATATATGTGTGTGTTTTATACATCTGGCTCTAGGAGTCTGTGTCTATATTACATTATATCAATGAGAGAGAGAGAGAGAGAGAGAGAGAGCTGAGTGCCTGTATTTGTACTTTGCTGTGATGATCCTCTGGTGAGACATCGCTTGGTAAGTGGCACTGAAACCCACCAGCTGGCTGGGTGTGATGGGAAGTGTTAGCTTATGGGTGTTTTATTCTAAAGAGCTGGGATGCTAAGGGGTTATTGTCAGATGGAGTGAAACACTTCTTTCACACCAGCAGTGCTAGAGTTAATGTAGAGTAATTAGCCCCTTGCAGTGTGTGTGTATTATGGTATAGCAGAATAGCTCAGGCAAACTGCTGGAGATCTGTTGCATTGGCAGCACTGAAAAAAAATATATTTTGTTCAGCATGTTGCCTGTTTTGCTTTTTTTCTTGTTGTTTGTCCAATTTTTTTTCACCAGATCTCACTGATCTATTACCACCAGCGCTGGGAAGCTGAGCACTGGATCTAATACACATGCATCATAGAGATCAGATTTAAAACAGGAAAAGGAAAATCTATTTTTTTTTAATGAAATTTAATATACGATTGCATATCCTGAGGGAAAATATGCTATTTCTGTTTTTTGTTTTTGAAACTATTTCTGTTATCAATTATGCTAATGGGGTATTGTTTTAAAATGAGTTGGGATTTTTATACAAGCTCACAGCCCCATCTTGAGAATTTAGTTATGCTCATGTGTGTGTAACAAAACAAACATTTACCATAAGCTCATTTGAGCAGAGCCATCATCACCCATTGCTTCTGATTAATAGAATTTATGATTTATTTATTATTTCATAATCTCTGCATTGTAAAATTGTAATGCTCCGCAGAATACGTTGGCACTTTATAAATGATAATAATAATTGTTTACACCCAAAACACCAACAAGTATATTATTATTGATTTATTAGTAGTATTATTAATATTGTCGTAATTATTATTTGACGTTATTTTTGTATTCTGCGCAAACATCAGAATGTGACGGGACAGTGACGTCAATGACGCCATCGCATAAGCGCGCAAATTCTATCTTGCATTAAAATTTTATTTTGTCAGTTTTATGTGTTTATTTACTCTAATTTATATGTACACAGCACAATTCTGGATCAAAGTTCTCTGTCACTAGAAACATTTCAGTGGATCATTACTCCACCCTTAGAAAAGTGTCCAACGTCTTATTATAACTTCCTAAGTAAGTATCATTCATTAATAATACATTCAGTTGCAAAATTCAACGAATACAACTGTGGAATAAAAGGAATCAGGACCTGCACGTGAATCTCTTATTTTGTATTAGCTAAGAGTTTATCTAAAGCTTCACATTGTGTATAGTGTGCATGCACTGGATCAGTATGGCAAACCAATGTATATCTACAGCACTGGGTACAAACCCTTTAATTCTGTCTGTTTCTTGCACATTGTTTAACTCATTCTGTGCTGGAATGTTAACGTGCAGATGTTGGCACTGTTGGAATTAAAAGTCACTAGGCCCCTGGGCAGAGGCTCTCTAGTGATCCCCTTACCCCCCTCTGTTTTTAACACACCCTCAAGGGAAAGAGGCCAGGATGGACCAGAACAAATCTCATTAGCAACTGTCATTTGGGATAGGGCTGTGGATTTTAGTGCTTTGTATGTCCTGCGAATGGGAGCAATATGTACTTTTAAACTTTAGCATTGGCTCCTTTTAGTTGCCGACTTAAATCAAAATAAATCATTTTCTGTGTTTTACACGACTAGTCACTAAACACCGATTTGTGATTATCTGAGAACAATTATTTAATCCCAAACAGCAGAAAAATCCCCAGCTCACATAAACTTTAAATTTGTTTTTTGCAGCTCAAATATTTTAACCTCAATGATAACGATGATTCTCAAAATCACCACCACTTGTTCAATAAATGAATCCCATTAGAGATTGATCTGTGACTACATCGATACAACGTGTTCCAGAAACCAGGAGAGGGGGTCTTTAATTAACCCTGCCATTACCAACCCAGTGTATACATTTATTATTGTTCTTGGACTTTATATCATATTTATTGCCAATATATGAAATGAAAACAGTTCATGAAATTATTTGGTTCTATAATACATCCACTGAGGTCTCGGCTTGCTAGATAGCATATGATGTTACTAATGACTGCGAAATGTTCTGGAATTAGTTTTCAGAATCTATTCTGGAGCAGTGAGTGGCGAAAGAAAATTGGCGCTAAATGAACGCAGAAAAAGCAGAAAGCTAAATATGTACAGAACCGGATACACTATCAGAAGGATGTAAGCGTGAAGTCCAAATGAAGATTGTGACCAACTGAGGCAAAACATTTTTTTAAAAAAGCTGTGACTATAGAGGAGTATGAATAATTTTAAAAGATTTCAAAAAGGGATACTCCAGGCACCAAAACAGCTTCATCTAAATAAAGTTGTTTTTGTGCCAGGAGGCCCCTGGAGGCACTGTTACCTCAAGGGGGTTAAACCTTTCTTGAACGTTTTAACCCAAAGTTGCCTCCAGTGGTAATATTCGCTCCCCGCCTGGTGGGGGCGCCGCTGATTGGTCAGTGGTCAGCTGACACTTTCAGTCAATGAGTGACTCCACATTCATAGAACTGGCTTGGAAAAGGGAGCCCTTCCTGAATCTGAAATTTCAGAAGCCAGATGCTGACAGTGTGAGTGGACATCGCCACTGGAATCAACTTTGGGTTTAAACTGTTCAAGCACAGTTTAACCCATCGAGATAACAGTGCCTCCGGGCACTTCCTGGCACCATAACAACTTAATTTAGATGAAGCTGTTTTGGTGCCTGGAGTGTCCCTTTAAGCCTACATTTTGACATTCAGACTTCAGTTCGCGACTATTTTGATTTTAGTGAATGAAAAAAAAATGTTTGCTGTCATTTCCTTCCAGTATTCTGATAGTGGCCACAAAAATGTAAGACTTTGGTAGTGTTATTATTTAAAGGGATCATATAGTGCCCGGAAAACAAAGCCATTTTCCTGGTACTATAGGTTTAATAGGTCCCCCCCTCCACTTACCTGAATCCAATGCCGATGTTCCTAGGCGCTGGGTCAGGTTCCGCCATCGCCCCTCCCCCGCCGACGTCAGCCCTTTAAAGTAGGACCCGCTCCAGAGTATTCACTAAATTGAGAATTGCTAGGAATTCAAAGTGAATTTCAAAATTTAGGCAAAAATATTTAATTTAGAACAATTCTCCAAGTAAATTTCGGTTTATGTTTGGTCATAAGTTTGAAATTCACTTTGAATTCACAGCAGTTCTCATTTTATTGAATAACACTTCCTGTTGTTTATTAACTTAACAGTAAATTGTAGAGAGCGGAAAGCAAAATTTAAAAAAACGAGGTAAAAAAATAGATAATCTGGGACAATTCTCCAAATTAGCTGTAGTCACAGTTTGGCGATTTTAGACTTAGTTATGCAATTTGGTTTAAAAGCATCCACAATTCACTGTTGACTAAACAGAACTAGTTCTCACGAGCGAAAAGAAAAGTGAGACTTTGGGAATGGCATACCAATGTGGATCTGCAGAAGATCAGGTAAAATCAAAAACCACATAGTAGATGGTAACCTACTGGGAGCGGGCACTGTGCGTGCTGAATCACAATCTGTCAATCACATGCTCACTTGTAACAGAAACATACTCCTTGCACGACCATATACATTCACTACTGACACGCACTCACTACATTCATTGACACAATCAACATCAAACTCATTACATTGATACGAACACATGCTCAATTCATTGCTCTTATTAAACAAAGATCGTGAAATATTTTATTAAACGGAAATACTTTTCAGACCACAGATCAAAATAAGCTCCTTTCTCTCTTTTATTTTTTTTTATATTTATGTATATTTTTAATATCTGGTAAAAAAATATATATATTTATTGCACTTGGGCTTAGTGTTAATAGTATTCAGACCAAACAAACAAATTGTTGGAAACACCTGAAGTTTAACAGTAAAATCTCTAAACTTATCACGGATTTTCAATGTGAGAAAATAGCAATCACTCAGTCACCAGGAGAGTAAACCCGCGGTTATGCCAGTTAAAATGTAACTCGTTATCACATGAGCCCTGTGTGATTACAGATATGGATTGGGTGAGAATATTCTGTCGACGCAGTAATTTCTCTGGAAAAGTGGAAGGGGCAGACGTGGGGCATCCACTCACTCTTAATGCCTTACCGAAAACCCATTTGCCACTTTGATCTTTAGAATTTAAACTCACGATCCTTCAATGGTCAATAGTGAGAAATCACAGAGAAAGGAGGGCACACATCCCAACACGCCAGCTACACAGGGTTATTCACTACAATGAGAATTGTCAGGAAACCAGAAACCAGAATGGCTGAATGAAAGCATCACTCCACTGGGTGTCCTGTGTATGATGGTGCAGGGGAAGGTGAGTTTTACTTACCTGAACAGGTCCCTCCCAGCCGCCACCATCGTCTTTCTGCCGATCCTCGTCAGCTCCTGCGCAGACAGTGTCTTTTTCCCCTTAGCCATCGCTAGTGACAGCTAGAGAAATTACAAAACGTGACAATGTCTCAGTATATCTTTGGACTGAATTGGAATGTCCGTGCAATTCTAACACAGTCAGTGTGACATTTTCATTAAAATATATTTATGAAAAAGCCATGGGGGTAAGGTGGCGGGGCAAGTTGATATTTTAAGACAACAGTAACCAATAGTAGTAGTTTTAAGACAATAGTAGTCAAACTGGAACAATTCTCTAACACAGCCATGCTTCCAGTTCAGCTACTTTGGCCCTCATTTTAAAATTCACTTTAAATTTTCACTTTAGTAAGTAAGTGTGACTAGAGGATGAGTATTAACAGGAACACTTGATGATTTTTATTTTTTATTTAACCCCTTAAGGACACATGACATGTGTGACATGTCATGATTCCCTTTTATTCCAGAAGTTTGGTCCTTAAGGATTTAAAGGGACACTTTAGTCACCAGAACAACTACAGCTTAATGTAGTTGTTCTGGTATTTATAGTCTGTCCTTGAAGGCTTTTTAATGTGAACACTGTATTTTCAGAGAAAAGGCAGTGTTTACATTACAGCCTAGGGACACCTCCAGTGGCCACTCCTCAGACAGCCACTACAGGTGCTCTCTGCATCAGTGCTGCACAGTGTGCATGGAGACTCTGAACTTTCCCTATAGAGATGCATTGATTCAATGCATTTCTATGAGGAGATGCTGTTTGGTCAGGGCGGCTTTTGGCTCCCACCTCCTGGGCTGAGATAATCAGACATGACAATCCCATGGAAAAGCATTGTGATTGGCTAAGATAATCAACTCTGATGATGTGAGCCAAGGAGGTGGATCAGGGCAGGCCAATGCAGGAAGACCTGCTCAGTGTTGAAAATAAGGTGAATTTTCTAGTTATTTTTAGGGGCTTAGCATTTTTTTTTAACGCCTTAGGGTCAGGAAGACATGTTTGTGTTCCTGACCCTATAGTGTTTCTTTAATTTTAATTTATCTTTAAGTAATTTGGTTACCCATGTAGCAATAATTAAGTATTTTATTTAGACAAACTAATTTGTAAACACTTTAATCTCAGGTTAAACACAGATTAATGGATATTTTATTATAGTAGAATTCTAACTCTGTGGTACATTTTTCCGCCAAATATTGAGGCTAAAGTTGTGACCAGCTTGTACAATGTGAAGACAAAAAGCCATCTTAGGGTAAAATATCCAGTTTACTAAAGGAACATGGAACGCAACAGACCCACTCTGCAATTTACAGTTAAGGTAGACTAGAATTGCAGCTGAATTAAAGATACAGGTATAATGATTTTGCAATTAATGGCTTAAACATTGGGGTCACATTGTTCACAAAGTTACATAAACAATTAAAATTAAATAATAAATGAATATTAGTAAATGAACAGCTGCCTCCACCATTCTCCATCCCATCCAAGGTTCTGAAAGACCAATTGGAAGAATGTGGGGGTTACTAGGCCCTCTAATTTTGAGGGGAACCAATTTATTATCCTGTCTACTCCCATACAACATGAGGGTGTCTAGTAATCCCTCGCACTATGTGAGCCCTAAAACATGCTAAAGGCCTAACTGTGACAACTCCAGAGACTACACCTGCTTGTGGCTCTGGTATTGATAGTGATTTAGTCTCTTCCTATTGCTATCCAGAATGTTGTTTTTTTTCTTATCGCTGTTATCATGATCCAGGCTTGTTGCTGGTTTTCCTTGCTTGCTGTGCACATTGATTTTTTCCTTGTTTTATGATTATTTTTAACTCTGGTAACCTAACCTCCGCGATATTCTCAGGATTCTCTCTCATTTGCTACTTTAAAGCTTTTTGTGAAGTCTCTGGGTTTTAAAGACCAATAATATACTATTACAGAATCCTGATTTCTCCCAAACATGCATCCTGTGTTCCTACCATCACGTTTCCAGGATAACCACTAGGTGCTGCCTGGGAATTCTGTGTGAGAAGCAATCACTGCATTTGATTAGGGCAATTGCAGCAATTATCCTCAGACAGGAAGGGTAGGCTGTTGGCACTGACAGTCTCCCTGGGGTAGAACGGGCAACCCTGAGAGAGGACTCACTGCTGGATAAAAAGGTGAGTTAGTGTTCATTGTTTTCATTAGGGGGCGCCTGGCACGTTTAGAGTTAAATTAACACAATTATTATGATTAATTATATAGCGCCAACATATTGCACAATGCTTTCCAATTATAGAATGGGGATAATTGACTAGAAGACGTTGACATACAGAATATAACGGAGGCTAGAGGTGAAGAAGACTAAGTTCAAACAAGCTTACAATCCATGAGACACACAGATTGGTTTTAACATTGAAGGGTTCCATTAACGGCCAACAGCTTCAAGATACCTATTAGTATTATTTTACTGAAAAGAAAGCTAGCGACCCCTTGGGGGAACTAGCTTAAACGTGTGTCAGGGACAACCTTATAGGGGATAACCCTTACATATGTGTATACAACAGAAAAAAAAAGGAAGGACCCAAAGGTTATTATTATAATAATAATTTATTATTATTATTTTTTCATTTTTGGGTTTATATTATAGGCATTAGTATACTTTTTATCTACTTATATTAAAAGTTAAGTTTTAACTTGTACATGCATTAATTAGGGACCACCTGCAGGTTTTGGACCCTTAAAGTATCTTGTCTTCTTTGGGTCCTTCCTTTTCTTTTTTATTATTTTATTGAGTCAACTTTTTTTTTCCAAACCACCATGGGGTTGTTTTGATCCCCATTCTTGGCAACCAGTGAAGAGTACAAGTATGTTTTAGCTTCCGAAACCTGATGAAAAGGCCCTAGTATAAGACCCATGAAATGGTGAACCAGAAACAAAAAAAAGGTAAAGAAGAGAGACGGGGACAGTTGGGTCCAAAAGAGGGATATTAGGGGAAAAAAGAATATGAGAGTAAATGGTCCAATGGTCTACCAAACACCTTGCAGAACTGCTTCAAATAAGCATTTGTTAGCCTTTGCCAAATACATAAATGTATTAAAAAGCCATATATAAAATTGAATAGTATGAGTATGAGTAAATTTTATGTGCTAAATAGAAAAACATCCTTAATCTCAAATGTGACAGGTCATATTAGTTGTTTTTTAAACGTGTCCCTCTTGTACCTATATTACATTATGTGTATAATAAATATAATAATGTTTTAATTAACCCCTTCTCCTTTTATTAATACCTTTTATTACATGACAATATACCTTAATTACTACAGGCATGGTGCTTATCATATAATTATAAGCTTAGGAAAACAGACACAAAGGGTCAGCGGGTCATATATGTTTAGTTTGTCCGTTTATGGGATAAGAAAACGTCTAACCTAGGTTTAAGGTTTTTGTTAACAATTAAAGGATCACTCCAGGCACCATAACAACTTAATTGGAATTAAGTTGTTATGGTGTAAGGAAGTCCGATGCACCAGCTTACCTTTAGGGGTTAAACTGTAAATGAACAGTTTAACCCCAAAGTGTTCTAACCGGTACCTGATCGCTATGCCCCTGAACTTTCACTCCATGTCAGAGGCTGAAATCAGGAAGCACCGGGTCAGATGTCACTGGTAGACAGAGAGTGTCAGAATATTAAGAAAAGACAGTGAAAATGATACGTTCCATTTCCACTCTTTTTCATCAATGGGGAGCTAATGATAGGATGAGAGTGTCATTCCAATGGAGTTGTTATGGTGCCCAGAGTGTTTTTTTAATTATGCATTATGTTTATGTATTTACTTAGAGATTATAATGGGGTCTTATTATACTTAAAATTGTTGGAAGCCTGAATGACTGGTTAAACGTATCCACTTAACGGAACAATCTAATGTTACATTAAAAATAAACGTTTAGGTGTCTAATGCCTGTTTGTTCATTGTTAAGACCTGCAGTGGTTATGGTACTGCAGTCTTCTATTCCTTTCCCAATAGCTGAGCATAAGTGATTATAACTGCAGTAGGAGGTAGAGGAATAGTGTAGATGAATGCAGCTTCCAAGACGTTTCTCCCCAGCAAGTAGAATATTCCCCAAACATGAGCCTAGACTTCATGAAGGGTGTAACAGGAATTAATTTTATTGAAGCCACACTGGCTTTTATGAGAAATCCTCCTGCAAAAGGACCTCCCACAGTAAACAAAGACAATAACCAATCAACACACAGATTTACAGTAATACACGCCTTCTCTCTGCCTGGGAGATATTGAGATAAGTTAAGGAATAACCCAATTATCTCCAGGCAGAGGGCACACAATTTCCCCAAAAGTTAGAACACCCCTTTCCACACAAGGTATCCCCATAATTTCATATCCCCTGATAGCCCCAATCTGGGGGACCAACATATCCAAATTTCACCCAGATCGGTTAAGGGGTTCTTAAAAAGTATGGAAGTCACAAGTTACCGACCACACACGAGGCTCCTGCCCAAAAGAGTTCCACGAATCTAGCGTGTGCGGTCGGTCAATTCAGAAAAAGGCATAAAATGAATAAAAGTCCCGAATGGATCCTCCTGGCTCATAGGAGCGATTGTTCCCCTTGTCAGTATGAACAAAACTACCGAATGGCGCTCTCCTGGCTCTTCGGCAACTAAAGGAAGCAGGCATTCAGTAGTTTCAGCGGTGGTTCAGGAGGTCGAGTGATTTTAGTTCCAGACACTCGACGACCAAGTCCCGCTGCCTCCTTTTGTGCAAACAAGATGGCCGCCGTTTTCCGTTCCACGTAGCATTCAGCTATACGAACAGCGGCCGCCCAGAGAGCGCTTAATAGATGGTTCTTTTGAAGTTAATAAGCCAGGAGGGTGGTTGGGATTCGGTAGTTTTAAACTACCGAACTAATAGATCCAACATGCACAAAATACTGCAGAAAAGCCCGAACATAGGAGAAAATACCGAACACAGTCTATTTTCTTCACAGTCATTTTGTACTGTACTGAATACATTGTATTTAGCACTCCCTGTGCAATTTTAGAATCTACTTGCGCTTCCTTGATTTCTTTAATTTCTGTAGATTATGTTAGACGCTCCGTCCTATGTCACAATGCATTACGTGACCAAGCCAGACTCATGGAGCACTCAGAAAATGGCACCTCAGGACTCTGCACACTACTTTTCAATAGGAGTGGCTATGGGGATTTTTTTTTTGCACTTCTGTTAAGGTATACATATGTTTCTTTTTGGTCCTTCAAATAAATTGCTTGTAGCACTCCCTGTGCACATTTAGAATCTGGTTGTGCTTCCTTTTTTACCTCTCTTATTTCTTTATTGCCTCTCTTAAAGGCATAGCATTGACATTTGCAGTGGACCCCATCATCATTACACAGAACGTGAAGACCTTCGAAAATAGAAGATCTTGAAAAGATTGATACCTTTTTTTTCAAGCCAGTTATATGAATGGGGACTCACTGATTGGCTTAGAGCGTCAGCTGACCGGCGGCACTCAGAAGTTAGATGCCGCCTGGGGGACCTGCAGTTTGGCACTGTAGGCACACTTTGGGATAAAACTGTTCGAGAACCTCGTAATGTAAGAATGTGCCTGGTGGCCTCCTAGCACCATAACCACTTACTTTGGATGTAGTTGTTATGGTGACCGAAGTGACCATTTATGGAGGAAGTTGCGCTACTGGCTGTTTGTGTGACAAACATTAACCCCTTAAGGACTGAGCCAATTGTACAAGTTGTGATCAAATCAAATGTAAACAAAACCTTGAATTTGTGCTATGTCTCTGTTCAGGCGTAATTCACCTATTTCATATTATGCGCACCCACACTTATCATATATCATTTTGTTCAGGAGAAACAGGGCTTTCATGTCACATCAAATATTTGTATACTAAGCATAATTCAGTATGAATAAAATATTAAAAAAGTGAGAAAATAAGAAATGTTATTTCTTTAGTTCTGCGTGGCATTTTTAATTTTTTTTAAATTCTTTATTTTTGCACACGATAGGCAATGCAAGAATAATACAACTTGGAGGCTTGCGCAGAAGCCAAAATATAAAAGAGCGTACTTATAAACATAAAAATTTACATCGGCCCATATGACAAGCCACTTTATAGATTCCATACAACTTGCCCCCCATCAAGGATTTTATGTTTTTTTATATGGCTACATCACTTAAACTCCCAATTTTACGTGCGATAGGCATAGCAAGAGCAATACAACTGTGAGGCTCGCACAGGAGCCAAAATGCTAGAAATCAGACTTGAAAACACGAAATATGACATTAGCCCAAAAGACAAGCCTCTTTATGAATTCTATTCCACTCGCCTCCCATCGATGATATTGTATCTTTTAGTCAGGCCCTGCATTCTAAGAAGGAGCCCTAGCTCTATCCATGTCAGGGTGTACTTTAGGCATCCTCAATTCTCCGTCAGTATGCTCATGCCTGAGTGAGGAAAGTAAATAATACCACCAAAGACTGAGACAATGTTAGAAATAGAGAGGTAAAAAGAAAAATATACCCTTGTAAACCAAGGGTTTAGTAACAAGATGGAGAAAATGTGAAAAAGAAAGATAGGGAAAGAAAAGATAAGGCGAGGAAGAGGTCTGCATGGCATTTTAACTGTGAATGTCACAATACTGTTAGCTGTTACTGCAATAAAGTACACATATTTGTATTCAGCAATATCTATCAGTCTGTCAGTATCTGCTTGTGTGTCAGTTTTTGATACATATGTTGACACAAGCAGATGCACAGACACACATACAGTTGCACAGACACACTGATACACATGCAGATATACAGACACACATACAATTGCACAAACATACTGATACACATGCACATATACAGACACACAGACACACAGACACAAACACTGCCACCTATACAGATACATAAACAAACAGATACAATCACTGACACACATACAGATACAGACACAAAGACACAAGCACGGACACACATGCATATACACAGACACAGTGTATAGGTAAGTGTATTGGCTGCAGTTCACACAGAGACACAAACTACATCCCCAGCATACACAGAGACACACGCTACAGCCCCAGCACACATACAGACAAACTACATCCCCAGCACACACACAGACACACAGTGGCGAACACACAATCCATGAGGCCCGGTGCGAAACTGATCTATGCCCCCCCGCCCCCTGACAGAAACAAACAAACAGGCACATACATACAGAGACATATACGTACACACATACACACATATACACACAGACAGACACACACAAAACAGACATACATACAGACAGGCACACATACATACAGACATATACACATACAGACACACATACATACAGACACACACAGACAGACACATACATACACACATACATACAGAGACACACACATACAGACACAGTCAGACTTATACATACATACACACACAGACACATAAACACATACACACAAACAAAAACACACATATACAAAATGTTTAAGTCACCCTCCTGTTTCCTACCTTTTAGGTGCAGGAGGATGACTTTCCCAGGGGTCCAGTGGTGGCTCAGGGAGGTGGGAGTCAGAGTTCCCACTCTGACTCCCTCTCCTGCTTCCCGCGCGGGCTCTCGCTGATAGCTGGGAGGAGTGACGGGCAGTCACTTTCTCCCAGCAGTGATGTCATCACACGGGGCCTGGTAGCGCTGTTAAAGCTCCGCAGCGCTGACCGGGGCCCCCTGGAAATTAATCTGTATCAATGGGCCCTTTGAACGTGCGGCCCCAGCAGTTTTCCACGTGGGCCGGGGCCGCAACACATGGTGGCGGGCAACCGGTCGCAGGGGTCTGCGGTATGTAAGCCACTGGACACACACTGCATCACCAGTACACACACAGGCACACACTTCACTCCCAGCACACACAGACACACACTTCATCCCCAGCACAACCACATAGAGACACTACCATTGCAGAAGCAGATGTTCGTTTTTTTGAGGGGCGTGGGGGGAGCAGCATTTCATCCTTGGACCCAGGCAGCACAATGTCTTGGGCCAGTCCTGAATCCATTACATACTTC